CCGAGCAAGAAGGGAATTCAATTCAGAGAGAACAGCATGTTCAACACCCCAAAGAGTGAGAAAGCAGGCACATCTGGGTTATGGCAAGCTACTTGGTTTGATGGTGCCCAGCTGGCTACAGCTTCTCTAAGAAGCTGACCCCACTCTTACAATGCATACCAGTGGCCACACCAATGAAAATTCCATCACGTGCCAGGCGTTCTTGGATTTCATTCCTCTACAGTCTTTCTTCTGAAGTCTGTTTACCTAACCCATTCTGAGCTTGACCTTGTTCCTAACCCTGCCTGCTCCCTGTGTAGGCAGTGTCATACCCTGGTCCCCAGAGTGTCCTGGCTTCAAGGGAGGAATCCACAGTTTCACCAGGTGCCTGGGTGTCTGCTGGGCATGGAAGCTGGAAGGTGTGACAAGTAGCCTCAGGGAGCAAGGCTAACTGGTGTCCATGTCCTGGGTAAGGCCATGCTAGAAAGTCTCAGAAGGTCCAACACGTTGAGTCCAAGAAAGTTGTGGAACAAATCTAGGATCTGAAGAAAAGGGTCAACCACAGGGAACCATCATTTATTTACCAGATATTTATTAAGCATCTTTTATGTGCCAAATACTGGCCCAGGGGCTGAAGATACAATAATGAGCAGAGTCAGTCCCACTCCTGTTGGTACCCACACATGGCTGACCAGTCGTTAGGGCTAGTGGCGTTCCTGATTTGGCCATTGAGCATCTGCTCTGACTGATCAGGCCTGTGCCACAATGATAGTTACATATTTTTAATGCCGCTCCTGGTCTCTGGCCTTGTTTTCAGTGAGTGGATATAGCTATTAATCAATATTCACATTAAGAAATGTATAATTACAAACTGAAATAAGGAAAAGAACTTCAAACTTGACCTAGACTGGGAGTGGTGGTCAGGGAAAGCTTCCTGGAGGGAAGAGAGTTGACCTGAGATCCCAGTGATGGGCAGGCGATAACTGGTTAAGACGTAGGAGCAGAGCGGAAAGTTAGAGCATTCTGAGTCCACAAGGACAGCCAGACAATTTTGTAGAGTTTGGTTGAATCCTCTAAGACTGGAGGATTGACCAGCTGTGAAGGGTTCTGAGTTGGTTGGGGCATCAGTGCCTGCTATGGTCTGAACGTTTGGGTCCCCCGCTCAAAATTCATATGTTGAAATCCTAATGGCTGATGTGAAAGTACTGGTAGGTGGGGCGTTTGGGAGGTGCTTAAGCCATGAAGGGGGAGCCCTCATGAATGGGATTAGTGCCTCATAAAAGTGGGTCTGGAGAGATCCCTCACCCCTTTGACCATGCGAGGACACAGCAAGAGGTGACAACTTATGAACCAGGAAGAGGGTCCTCAGAAGAACACAACCATGCTGGTGCCTTGATCTTGGACTTCTCAGCCTCCGGAACTGTGAGAAATAAGTTTCTGTTTTCTGTAAGCTACCCACTCTGTGGTGTTTTGTTACAGCAGCCTGACTGGACTAAGACAGTCCCCTTTTGGGGGAGTAGCGGCAGGGGGACTGGTGGGATTTATATAAGAGGTGGTGGCTCAAACCACTAACAGCTGAAGTGCAAAGTGATTCACATTCAGCACTGCTGTCTACATTGCAGGTCAGAAAGAAGGTGCACAGCAGGGGCTTGTCCGCTGGCCGAGTGGTTAAGTTCACGGGCTCTGCTTCAGCGGCCCAGGGTTTTGCCAGTTCAGATCGTGGGGGCGGACATGGCACCGCTCATCAGGCCATGCTGAGGTGGCATCCCACATAGCACAACCAGAAGGACCCACAATGAGAATATGCAACCACGTACTTGGGGCTTTAGGGAGAAGAAAGATTGGCAAAAGATGTTAGCTCAGGTGCCAATCTCAAAAAAAAACCCCAAGAAAAACAGTTTAAAGGTACACAGCAAAGGGGAGCCACCCCTCAGAAGTTGAAAAGCCCAGGGATTGCCGGTCCATCTGGCTCTGTCCACACTGGCAAAAGCTACCATTTCACATATGGATGCTGCCAATTATCAGTGAAAAACCCCATGACTACCAAAATGTGCAGACATGGCTGAGCCAAGCCATCTCTTCCCTTCGCCTTTGGCTGGGGAGGGCTGCCATTAGAACTGGAAGTTTATCAGTCAGGACTCTCAGTCACAAACAACAGAATCCACTCCAGCCAGTTGAAGCGGAAAGCACTCATAGAAGTTCCAGGAGTGCCAGGGAGTGAAGCTTCAAGACTGTGCAACCTGGAACCATGCCCAGATTACAGTGTCCCACCACCCAGCAGAGACCCTGAGCCCACCGCTGGGCACAGTAGCCTCAGCCTGCACCACCCATGCTGCCGCCAGGTCCCTGCCACCACTGCCTTTTCTCTTGTGGCCAGGCTAAATCCTCCACTGCATCTCCATCTTCACCTCTCTCTCTGAAGGGAAGTCTCCTGCATGCACACCTGACTAGTGAAGTTTAGCTCAGGTGTCTGCGTCTTGACTTTAAGGGAGACTGGGAAAGCACACTGCTAACTTCTTTCTCAGGAAAGTGGGACTTAGAAGGTAAGAAATTCCCCAGGAATATGAATGTGCTCAAGAGGAGCCAGGAGGGGTGTTTCAGCTCCAGTTAAGCACTAGAGGTCTGTGGTTAAGTCTGCATTGTTCTCCAAGATTGGGCACAGTTAGAGCCCCACAACATCCTGTTTCTTATATGTGAAACAGGGCCATCTAGGACAAAATAAAACCCTCTTTGTCTTGGAACGCTTTACTTCCACGCAGGACCAGCTACATAATTGGCAGGGCCCAGTGAAAAATGAAAATGCTGCACTCCTTGTTCAAAAATGAAGAATTTAAAGACAGAGACAGAAGAGCATTAGACCAAGCTGGGCTCTTCTGATCATGGGTCCCTGCTCTCCTGCACAGACCATACGCCTTTAAAGCTGCTCTGCTTCCCTTTCCTCTGGTTGACTGGTAGGACTTATGTTGTTTGGATCCTTGTATAATACACTGTTGCTAGACGTGGCAGGAAGAGGTGGGAACTCAAGTGATATTCTCAACAACAAGATATCCAGTAAGGTCTGGATCCATCTGGAAACCTATTAGAGCTCATGGGAGGGGTATCATGCTGGAACCTACACAAAGAAGAAGAAATGATAAAACTCCAAGGCTGAATTGAGAACAAAGTTGCTTTGGCAAGCTTGCTCATCCTGCCTCTCCTTATAATGCCCTACTGTTTGTCATGGGATATGACTGTTATAGTGAGTGAACTGGGAGAGGATTGTGAAACAGCACAGAGAAGGTCTTTCTTCTCATCCTTTCTCTTTCTTTCCTTCCTTCCTTCCTTTTTCTTTCTTTCTTTCTTTCTCTCTCTTCTTATATAAACCCTGGACAAATGTATCCTTGGAAGCAAGGTAAGACATCCATAACCTGATATTGCATGCCAAAGGTTACACATGTCCAACATATAAAAAGAAAAAACGTCCCAAGATTCAGCCATCCATACTAGGCTTCTCCAAAGACCTATGGGGCCTCAGCTACCAAAAGATAAATCTTGAGACTGGTAATGCCTATACTCATCTGCACACCTGCAAGGATTCCAGTTGTCCATATAACCATAAATCTAATTTCCACCTGCAGTAGTCAGGTGGTTCGAGTTGGGGTATGACAATGTCAGCCCTTGGAAGGTGAGATGGAAAGCATGTTACCCTGGCAGGTGTCCTTAAGTGTGCTGAGGCAAGGAAGAAAAATACAAGTGTAGACAAGAGAAAAGTCCAGTCTGGGGACAAGAGAGATTATTTCTTATGTCCAAGTGCAAGGGAGAAGCAAAAACATAAATAGTATGTGGATAGCAGAGTTGGAAATCTAAGGTTGAGAAAATGGAAAGAGGAAGGAGGAAGTGAGTACAGATGGTTCTGGAACAGAACTGAAGGATTCTTATTCGTGGGGCCTTATTTAGTACAGCAGATGCCAAAGCACCCCAACTCCACAGTCAGTGCACCTGATTGTAAAACCTGCCTTCCATTTACTAGCTGTGTGACCCTGAAGAAGCGACTTAACCTCGTCAAGCCTCAGTTTTCTCCTCTGCAAAATGAAGATAGTAATGATAAGTATATAATTAAATCATTTATTAAACATTTATAACATGCTGGTTCACGGTAAGAACTCAATAAATACTAGCTATGGTCATGATGATGGTATGATGATGTGACGGTGATGATGATGAAGGGGACTGATGAAAATGGTCAAAGATGCAGGCCTCTCCTGCCAGAGGAGAGAACCCCGGGATGAGCACCATGGGATGGAGTTGATGAGCATGCAGACCCCACAAGAGAGGTGTAATGGTGAGGGATGAGGAAGAACCAGGAGAGAAAGACAGAAGGCACAGGGAGCTGGTTAGGAGGCCTTTGCATCATTCCCAGTGAGAGACCAAGCCCCGCCCAGGGCAGCGTTTGAGATGACCTCTAGACATCCATGAGTTTGAATTGTAAATACATGTTATACACACTGATCATCAAGCTGTGCATTTTCCCAGCTTTACAGTGAATATTTGGGCAGTGTCCACAAAAATCGAGTAGGGGTACTGTCAGGAGGGCCTCTCCTGGAGACGAAGGGCAGTGGGGTGAGGAAGAAAGAGCTCTGCACACAGAGCTGCACATCTGAGCAATGGCTCCACGCTGATGGGCAATTCTCTTTTCCTCTGCAGAGATTCACAGACCCTACGGGAAGTCAAAGAGCTCCCCCGCCCCACTTGCTGGCTGCTTGGGCATCAGAATGTTCGAGTCTGAACCACCCACACTTGCTTTGGGTAAGAAAAGGAGTAAGGAGAAAAGAGAAGTGTCTGGGACAAGCTTTTGGTTTTGTCTTTCTCTTCTGGAAATGTTCTTTTTTGGGTCAAATTACCACATATATATGATATGTGCGTGTGTGTATGTGGGTGTGTATTTCTTTCATCTGATTATAAAAGTAATGCATACTCATGAGAGAAAATTTGGAAAATACTGAGTCAAAAGTCAAAAATAGAAATCACTGATAAGACCACTATCCAGTGATAATTGATCTTTCTTTTGATTTATTGCCTTTCCTTTCATTCATTCACAACATGTATATCATACAAACACACATATATATTACATTTGTATCATATTTAGACAATTGGATCATATGATAAACAGTTTTATATCCCATCTCTTGCACTTATTGTTGATATTTTCCTTTGTGATTAAACTTTCTTGGAAAACATTTCATTTACACACAGTGAAATTTGCTCCTGTTGATGTTCAGTTCCGTGAGTGTTGACAAATACGTAGATTCATGACATGGAACAGTTTCGTCACTTCCCCCAAATTCCCCCCACACAGTTCCTTTTTACTTAGCCCTCCGTCTAGTCTTAACCTCTGGCAATCACTGATCTGTTCTCCATTCCTATAGTTTTGCCTTTTCCAGAATGTCATGTAAATAGGATCATACAGTATGTAATCTTTTGATCTAGCTTCTTCCACTTAGCACAATGCCAATAGCTGGTTACTTTTTATTGCTGAGTAGTATTCCACCATATAGATGTAGCACAATTAGTTCATCCCTTCATCAGCTGAAGGACATTTGGATTGGTAAACACGACTTTTACTATTTGAATGATATTCCATCCTGCAGATGGAATACATACACCAAACCATATTTAAACAGTTCCTATTATTAGACATTTTGGGTTCCTCCCTGCGTTATAAATAACGATTAAATGAACATCTTTTTTTAAAATTTATTTATTTATTTTTATTATTTATTTTTTTGAGGAAGATTAGCCCTGAGCTAACATCTGCTGCCAATCCTCTCTTTTTGCTCAGGAAGACTGGCCCTGAGCTAACCTCCGTGCCCATTTTCCTCCACTTTATACACGGGACGCCTGCCACAGCATGGCTTTTGCCAAGCAGTGCCATGTCCGCACCCAGGATCCGAACCAGCAAACCCGGGGCCACCGAAGCAGAATGTGCAAACTTAACCACTGCGCCACCAGGCTGGCCCCATGAACATCTTTATACATCAATCTTTGCCTACCAAATATATAGGCATACATTTATATAATGTACGTATATCATAAGCTATCAACAAGCATGCAGTGTGCCCTGCTGGGTATATAGAAAAACTTAGAAAATATATAAAATACAGTTCTATAGAATTTTCTAAAAATGTTTGATTGTATAACAAACAATCTGGGTTTCAATGCTTTGTACCATTATGAAAATAAGAAAATAATAATGTGCTTTAATTCTAATGCAGCAGTTTTAACCTGTAAAATAGAACTAATGTCTTATTTCTGAAATCCTGAGCATGTGTATCATTAAAAACCCATTTCAGGACATTGTCTTCCCAGTGGGAAGCTTCTTTAGACAATGGAATTGCTTGGTGCACACAGAACAAGAGGGATGAGTGTGTGAGGGCAGGTGTCAGCGCTGGGGCTCGCTAGGGCAGCAGAGCTGAGTCTCTAGTTACTCTCCAGCAACTGAAGCCAAAGCCACTAAGAGAAGAACGATAAGGCCGGCACTTTGTTCTGCGTAAAGGGCTGGGACTTCTCTTCGAGTAGATGCTGCTGCCCTGCAAATTAAAAAGGAAATAGAGAAAATGTCAGTGTTAGTGTATGGCACCTCCTTTCAAAAATATAAACGCACACTGCAGAAAAATGGAACTAGTACAGAAAGTTATAAAATGCAAAGTAAAATTCCCTTAGTCTCCCCATTCCCACTTTTTTGTTTTGAGGAAGATTAGCCCTGAGCTAACATCTGCTGCCAATCCTCCTCTTTTTCCTGAGGAAGATGGGCCCTGAGCTAACATCCGTGCCCATCTTCCTCTACTTTATATGTGGGACGCCTACCACAGCATGGCGTGCCAAGCAGTGCCATGTCTGCACCCGGGATCCAAACCAGCGAAGCCGCTGCACCACTGGCCAGCCCCTCATTCCCACTTTTCATAGAGAATCAATCTTGGTAGTTTGAGTTGTCCTTCCAGGAATGAGATACACACACGTATGCATGCACACACACACACACACACACACACACATTCACATATCTTTTTATCTAAGAACAAATGGAATCTGCAACTTGCTTTTTTCACCTAACACCATTTTTTGGACATCCTTCCATATGGTACATATCAAGTTATTTCATTCTTCCTCAAGGATGAATTCGTCTTGTGTGGATGTACCATAAAGTCAGCCAAGTTCTCCATTGACGGACATTTCACCATCAGAGTTTAACTGGTGAGGAAAACCTGTCCTGACATAAAGACATCAAGACAGGACCTGGCCAAAACACGGACTCTGGTCATAACCAATAGGGTCTGACCACTGGATTTTTAAAAACCGAAATTACTGAATTCTTTGAAACCAATTAAAAGAGAAATTTTTTAAATTAGGAAACAATCTGATGTTGGTTTGGAAATGTATCCCTTGGCTCTCGACTCTGGCCGGGGTCCTTGAAACATCCTCACTCCATTTGCTCAGCAGTTCCCCTCTTTTTTGCTAAAGGAATCGCCAGCAGCCCGCAAATCTGTACTAGGGCTCCTCCTGCTGGACATGTTCTACCACTGCACTTCTGATTCAGTTCACGTCCCAGACTTGATTCATTCAAAATTGATGATTTTCTTTTTTCACCTTTAAATAATTAATGAATTAATACAAGGATACATTTTCATTTGTTTAAATAAAATAATACAGAACTAAACAGAGTAATAATGAGTCTCCCTTCATCCTTTTCCGGTTCTCACTCCCGTTCCCTGGAAGTAACCTCTGTTAGCAATTTGGAGTTCATCTCTCAGACCTCTTTCTATCATTCATACCCATTATCATGCACAAATAGAAACACAGTTTTGTTTTCCTTTGCTTTGCATGTCTGGGCCCACCTTCTATGCATTGATTTGTCACAATTTAGCTCAAGCTTTTCATGTCGGTGTCAGGTTGTGCTTGAGGGCAGCTTTTATGCACAGAAAAAAACACTATTTGCAGTTACTTTGGTTTTAAAAATTAGTTCTAACAACTAGAATATATAACTATGTACTGGGGGGCTTGGGGGAGAAGAAGAAGGAAAAACAGATTGGCAACACATGTTAGCTCAGGTGCCAATCTTTTAAAAAAATTAGTTCTAACTATTAAAGACATAAATTCAAAAGCCTGATTTTCCCACATACTTTTCTATTTAATTTATGAATCATATTGTTCTATTTAAAAACCTGGTGAGTTCTGATAATTTTTAAGGAGGCTTCACATTTATTCAAATTCCCTTAAATATTTTAAACTCAAATTACTTCAGGTTAAATTATTTTAAACTTAAGTTTAAAAATATTACGTTCTTTTAAAAATACTTTAATACTTTAAATGACTTTAGATGAGCAAAACCTTCTCAAATACTTGATTCTAATAAATCTAATAAATGTATAAAATTTAATTTTAATTCTCTTAAACATTCCAATGATTAAAAACTTAGTAAAATTCTCTTATAACTTTCAACTAAAAATCCCAAGTCTAAAATCAGTTATTTAATAATTACCATATTGGAATCACAGGGCTATTCCAACAGCTATTGTTATATGCTAAATTCTCTAAAATGTTGCAAATAAATTAAATACCAAACAATACAGATTGCTCCTAAACTTACCACAAAAGTATTAATAATAATGATATGAGCTGTTTATTCTATTCTAAACCTTTGCAGATTAACAGTCCTTTACCCCACTATTCCTAAGCAAGTAGAATTTGGTATTCCCACTTCTGTGGCTTAGGACCTGAGTAGCTGTGGGGGTAGGGGATGGTTGGGGAGGAGGAACTGGACACAACGATGACACACATTTTGGACAGAGAATTTGGGCCAAGATGAGAGATCTGATGTCTTCCCTTGACCCTGACCAAAATAGTGAGTCCTTATTTCAGTAAGGTATGTCTGTTTTCTCATATCCTCACCAATCCTGTAGATTATCAGTCTACTGAATTTTTAGCCAATATTATAACCTATAAACATATAAAGTTGTTTTCTACATATTTTTTCAATTTAATTGTTCATGAGAATTTTTCCATATTGCTGTATGATTATCCATCAAGTTCCCCACCCCCCCACCCCCGCTTTATGGAGACATAATTGGCATATAACATCTACCATTGTTTTTAATGGCTACATTCTATTCCATCCAGTAAATGTAACCCTTTGATGTAACCATTCACTCGCCATTGGATATTTAGGCCCAGCTCCCAATGTTTGCATTTCTGATTGAGTATTATAAAGAATGCTTTGGTGAACATCTTTGAGCATATAGGCTGTGTCCACATTTTGAATAATTTCTTTAGAATAAGGTACCAGAAATACCCTAAGGTCTGAGTTGGGTCAAGGATTAAGGACACTTCTATAATTCTTGAAAGATATTGTCAAATTGTTCTCCCAAAGCATTTTACCAATTCACAACTCCATCAAGCATTGAATAACATCTTTAAAATATTTTTATGCTATTTTTTGTTAAGATGTGTCAATGAAGTCAAGGTGGAAATTGCACCTTATTCAATTTGCATTTCACTGTTATTAAATGATGAAATAATTTTCCATATTTGCCATTGGTGGTTCCTCTTTCATAAATTATCTATCAATATTCTTTGCTAGGTTGTTTTAAAAAGAGTTTAGTAAAATTCCTTTCACAGCAATAAAAGAGGAGAAAAACTTGGCAAAGAGTGAAAAAGGATTTTATTCTTGACGTCAAAGGAACTGGGAAAGAACCGTCATAAATAAATCAATTCAACAATCCCTGAAAGAATGCCCAAACAAAGAAAGAAGAGCAGGTCAGGAACTATAACCCCTTCCTTAGCTGCTGTACTGCAAACCCCAGCGGCACACTGAGGCGGTGTGGTTCGGTGGGAAAAACAAGGACTTTACACACAGACAAACCTGGCTTCTGTTTCTGGCTCTAGCCAACCCTGAGTGACTGCTGAACTTCTCTGAACCTCAGCATCACTGATGAGGATCAAACTGCCCACCTTCTAGGAATGTGATTGGACAAAATGAGATGATGACTCCAGAACGCCAGGCTGAAAGTCTGACACATCCGAAGTGCTCAGAAACACCTGAGGACAGGTGAGGAGAGCCACCCTCATTCACCTTCCACATCCTGCAGCAGGGGAGGTAAACCAAGGCACTGGCGCCAGTGTGGCACCACTTACCTATTTCAGGAATGGCAGTGTAGGGTGCAATGGGTTTTAGAGAAAGGAATTTTACAGGATCTGTATCTGTATAAAGTTTACAGTCTTGTTAAGGAGACAAGGAGTAAAACCATAAAGATCTATGTCACACTGTAACACTACACACATCCACCCCGCCAGGCCTTATGAGGTCCCTGGCTCACCGAGTTGTCTATTCTATCAAATCTTCCCAACAACCTTGGTCCCCCTTTTCCACCTAAGTGAGCCACAGTTGGTTTCTGCTTCTTGCAATCAAAATCTGGACCTTATACATATGCTGCTGCTGGACACCACTCCACCTCTTGTAGGACACATGCCACTCCTTTCAGTTGCCCAGCGTCTTTGAACACTCTTTGTCTCAAATCTATTCCTACCCATGGTAGAAACAATCTTTCGTTCATTCATTCATTCATTCACTCATTCATTCCTAAGTGCCTACCAAGCTGCAGGCTGTTTTAGGTTCCTGGGAGACAACCATCAGTGAACAAATTAGGTGAAAGCCCCTGTCCCCATGGAGCTCATGTTCTAACAAGTGAGAGACGGGAAATAAAAAAATCAACTTAATAAGCAAATAAGTCAGAAGATGGTAAACACTATAAAAAAGAAAAATAGAGCAACATAAGGGGTTTCCCAGAGCCGGAATTTATGGCCCAGGCTATAATTTTAAATACTGAGGTCAAGGGGACATCATGGAGGTGAGATGGGAACAAATACTTACTGTAGGTGAGGGAGTCAGCCACATGGGGGAGGGGCTTCCAGGCAGAGGGAACAGCAGCAGCGAGGGCAAAGGCCCTGAGGTGAGAATGTGCCTGGCACATTCCAGGAGGTCACTGTGGCTGAGGCTCAGTGAGGGAAGGGGAGTAACAGAAGAAAGTGGAGAGAAGTGGGGCCAGGGCAGGCTGTCTGGTTCTTACTCTGAGTGACGTGGGAGCAACGGCAGTGTTTTGAGCAGTTGAGTGACATGACTAAAATTTTAAAGGACTATTCTCTACACTTTGTATATGTTGGAAAATTTCCCTAATAAACAATAGAAATCAAAAGCTAACTCTAGTAGCTGAGTTTCAAAGGCACCATGGGGGGAACGGGTCAAGGTGAAAGCAGGGAGACTCTTTTGGGCCTATGGCCATAATCCAGGTGAGCGATGAGAGTGGCTCAGACCAGGCTAGACACAGTAGACGACTGAATCTTCCACCAATTTGGTAGGTCAAACCAATAGGATTTTCTGGTGAAGGGTGAGAGAAGGGGAGGAGTCAAGGATGCTTCAAGATTTCGGGAAGGGGCGTTTGGGGATTTGGGGACAGGTGAATGTTACCCCCACCCATCAATTGAGACAGAGAAGACTATGGGTAGACCAAGTTTAGGGGTGTATTAGTTTCCTGTAATACATTTAGTGACTTAAAACAACACAAATTCATTTTCTTACAGTCCTGGAGGTCAGAAGTTGGAAACCAGTTTCACTGGGCTAACGTCAAGGTGTCAGTGGGGCTGGTTCTTTCTGGAACATCTCCTGAGGGGAGAATCTGTTTCCATGCCCTTTCTCTACCTTCGAGCATCACTCCAATTTCTGCTTCCATTATCATGTCATCTTCTCCTCCTCTTCTCTGTCAAATCTCCTCTGCCTCCCCTTTACAAGGACTCTTACAATTTCATTTAGGGCCTGCCTGGAAAATCCAGTACAATCTCATCTCAAGATCCTTAACTTAATAACATCTGCAAAGTCCCTTTTGCAATATGAGGTAAAATTCACTGGTTCCAGGAATTAGGACCTGGATATCTTTGGATGCCATGACTCAACCTACCACAGCAGGTAAGTTCAGGAGTTCAGTTCTGGATGTGTTGAGTTTGAAATATCTATTAGACATCCAAGGGGAAATACTGAGTACACTGTTGAGTATATAAGTGTGGTGTTCAGTGAGGGCCTGGACTAGAGAGATTCATTTTGGAGTCACCAGCATCGAGATGAGATTTAAAGCCATGGGACTGGATTTAAAGCAGGGACTCACTTTCCCAGACTTCCTCACAGTTAGAGCACAAACACATGACCAAAACTCTGCCAACGAGATCTGCCCTGGTGAGCACAATGGATTAAAACAGCAGTTGCCATATAGGGTCCATTCTAGCCATGAGAGTGCCCAAGGCACCAGCTTTCCAAGGCAGCAGTGGTAGAGATTCCAGAAGCATCATCCAGGTGCGAGTATCACAGGCACTCCCTGAGGTGTCTGTACCCAGACAGGCTGCAGCGGGGTCTGTCCTGGGACAGTTCTGGGTGACACTTTGGTGTGGCCTCCAGTCCTGCTTCTCTGGCTCTCCCAGGAAGATACTGTGAGCAACCTCAAACCCTTTAACACATCCCATTTCTACTGAACTACCTGGAGCTGGTGTGCGATGCTTGCATTTAAGAATTTCAGCTGATGTGCTCTCTACATGAGCTATAGGAACCCAACCCTGTGCTCAGCCCAGGCTCTGGAAAGCCCTCCTCCTGCACTGTCTAGAAAGAGGGTTGGGCACTTACACACACTTGGTTTTATTCAATCTTCACAACTAACCTGTAAGACAGTTCCCATTATTTTTAGTTTTGTAGATGAGAAAACTGCCAAATTCAGGCCATCTGTCTCCACCTGCAGTGCTTTGACTACCACCAAAGGGTCAGTGTCCACAGGCTTGTGGGCAGGAAAGCACGGGGGTCTTTAGGAAAGTGGATCAAAGCTAGCCTGAAATGAAAGTTCCCGGTGAGGAGCAGTGGGCGGTGTGTTGAGAAAGAGTATGAAGACCCTGGGAGGACAGGCTGGAATTGGACGTGGTGGTAGGAACCTTGAAGGTCTTAGAGCGGCAGGGAGAGGAGGATGGATTTCATTTTCAGGTGAGGAAAGTGAAGACCCAGGTCCACAGGTCTTCATCTCCCGTGAGAGAACTCAAAAAAATGCAAGCCAAATTCACAGGGAATGGACAGCAGAGCGTGGGAGAGAACTTAAATCCATCACCCACCCCCGGGATGTTAGCCCCGAGTACACATGCAGGTGATGGTGGATCTGTTGTCCCAACTTCCAGTCAAAAGAGCATAACAGTTGCCAGAGTAAATTCTGAACCTCACAGACTCGCTTCAGACCCACTCACTAGCTGGGTGGTCTTGGGTGAGTCCTACCTTAGCTTCTCTCACCAGAGTTTCTTCACCTCTGAAATGAGGATAACGGAACCTTCCACATTGGTTCAGATACAGGTTTGGTTGCTGTTAAAACGACCCCAAATCCCAGTGGCTTAGACAAGACAGATGTTTATTTCTCTCTCAGTAACTGTCCAGGCTGATACGGTATGGGAGCACCCAGCCTCCCTCTGCTGTGTCGCTCTGCCACGCCCTGTTGAAGATGGCTCAGCACCACACCTTCTGGATTCATACCCCAGCCAGCAGGAAAGGGGAAGGGGAATGCATATTCTTTCCTTTCAAAGGCTTAATCCAAAAATTGCACACATCACTCAGCCACAGTGAGACGGAAGGCTAGGAAGCACACACATTATTATTGATAGCCATCAGCCCAACTAAAATCAAGGGTTCTATTACTAAATGAAGAAAGGAAGAAGAGCTATGTGGGCATGACGAGCAGTCCCTGTCTCTTTCTCTGTCTCTCTGTCTATCTAATGGACTAGTTATAAGGATGCACAAAATGTGCTCTGTAATTCACACAGCACAACCTGGCACAGAGTTGATGTCCAGCCCTGATTAGTTCTCTTCCCCTTGCAGATGGAAGACTAGATCCTACCGACATTTATGGAGCACTTACTATGTGCAACTGTGATGAGGAACACAAAGAGGAAGTTGATGCAATCGCCAAATCGAGTGAGGGAGACAGACATGTGGAATGAACTAAAACATGGCTAGAAAGAGGGAAGTGCTATAGTCAAGTTGGGCACAAAGTCCTTGGAGAGCAGAGAAGGGGGTTCTAATATCCACCTGAAGAATCAGGAAAGCCTTACAGAGGAAGGGACATTTGGAGTTGGGTCCTCAAGGATGCATATGATGTTAGCAGATAGGAAAGAAAGGGAAGAGGACTCAGGCAGCAGCTTCAGAAATCTTCCTGCCGACACAAATCCAAATAACAATAAATCATCATGTTTTACCCACAAAACTGATTAAAATTAGACATATATATAGGTACAAGTACAGGTACAGATACAGATTCAGACACAGATACAGATATAAATAATACCCAGTGTGGGCAAAGGAGGGGAGAAAAGTGCACCCACCACTATGTTGGTGGGAGTGTACGCTGGTGCAGCTTTTTTGAAACATCAAAATTGAAACTATCCACATCCTTTGACCCAGCAACTCCATTTCTGGTTATCTGTCCTACACAAATACTTGCACAAGAACTCAAGGTATATAATCCATGATTATACTTCAGCATAGTTTATAATAACAAAACAACTACACTACAACCTACAACGGAGTCAGCCTATGACTGGAAAATGGCTAAACAAATGATGGAGAGGCCATCCTACAGAATACTCTGTGGCCACTCAAAGACTGGGTCAGAAAGTATGAACAGACTTAAACGGATGATGCCCTTATGCCGCTAAGTGAAAAAAGCCCATGGCAGAACAATATGTCTAGTATGAGTGCTTTTTGTACAAAAACAAAGGCAAATAAATAAATGAAAACAAGACCAAACCAAGAACAAATAAATGAACAAACTTACATCTGTGTCTGGTAACATGTATAAGTTTGTGCATTGAGGACATACTGGAGGAGATGGACCTAAATGTTAAAAGAAATTACTTTGAGGATATGGGAGTGGAGGGAAAAAGAAATCCTCATATTCCTTGTTGATGATAGCTAAATATTGGAAACAATCTACATGTCCACCGATGGGTAATGGGTTAAAAAAAATCATGATACGTGCATACAACAGAATACCACAGAGCTGTTAAAAAGAATGAGGCAGCTTTATCTATAGATAGGGAACAGTACCAAGACACACTATTATGTGAAAAAAGCCAGTTGTAGAATCCTATGTATAGAATAGAAAAGAGAAATATGCCTCTGTGTGTGTTGTTGCAGGCACAGAATATTCTAGAAGGATACACAACAAACCAGAAATAGTGGTTGCCTCTGGGTAAGGGTACTGGGTGACTAGGAATAGAGAAAGAAAGTTTATTCACTTTTTCTACCCTTTTATATCTTTGAATTTCATTGCATAATGAAGGTATGTATTACCTTCTCAAAAAATCTAATACGATTTTAAAATATACAAGGATTAAGAAATAAATTTTAAAAGGTCCTCCTGCCACCCTACTCCTAGAATTCCTGTGGAAGCAAGTGCAGCTGGAGCAGAGGGCCGCATCAGGGCAGGAGTTCAGCTCACCTGGGTAGATGTTCATCAAATCTGCACCAACCTGGTAGCTCAAGGAAACTGAGAGGAGTGCAGTGCAGAGGTACAAACCTTCCTCTGCAGCCCGGTGTTTTAGGGGGTGAGGGCAGAATCATATTGCAATTCATCAGTGTTCTGCAAATAGTAAGGACTGGTTATCTTGGGGAAGCAAGGAGGTTGGGTTAAGATATTTACTTACGAATTTAAGGCACAGTCAGGATGAGTGCTGTGGTCCACGCACTTTAAGAGCTTCACTGGTCTATAAAATGAAAAGAAATATTTAAGAGATTATTTAAATGACATTCACTCATCAAACATGTATCATGTGCCTGCAAGGTACTTGGGGATACGAAGTCTCTGACCTCGAAGAACACACGGTTTCTTTTTAAAAATATTAGCCAACATTTACTGAGCACTTACTATGTACCAAGAAACCTGATTATGTATTTTACATAGATTATATCATTTAATCTTCACAACAGCCCAATGGAGCAAGTACTACTGTCATCTCCAATTACAGGTGAGAAAGCTGTCCAGAGGACCTTGCGCAAGTCCTCACAGTAGGAGTGGAGGAGCTGAACTTGAGCCTTGTGGGCTTACTCTAGAGCCCAAGTGTGTAACCAGTTCTGTATAGATGCACGATTTTCCTCGGAAAAACCTCTTGATACGTACTTTGGGCAAAAGGTTGGACTCAAAGCACACAGTGATGGCTGGTACCCAGGCTTCAGTAAAGAAAGCTAAATTGTTCCTCACGATAGAGGGAGAAGATGTGGAGCTCCAGGGCAGCCAGGGGGGTAGGAAAAGGCACAGTGAAGAGAGGAGCCAGGGACCGATGGACACTGGGCTTTGGGTGGGAGCCAGGCCTACAGAGGATCCCTCGTGGCAAGGTGACTGGAGAGGACATTGGAAGAACAGCAGGTACACTGTTCCTCTGTGGTATGCTATGTGACCCTTCCCTAGGACTTGTTTACTTTTCGGTAAAGTCCACACTACGCAGACATTTTTTATGGGAGTAGTTTGTTATTGTTGTGTTATGCTCCCCCAAAACGCATTGAGTTTTAGAGTCTAGTTCAATACAATGCTAAGCAGAAAACAAGCAAGAGGCAAGAGAGGCTGTGAAAAGACAAGATGTAGCCAAAATTTGCAAGAACCCTGGGGAGAACTTTCGACTGACGCAGGACAGAGGCCAATGTCATCTGAATTTTGAGAGGCAGGAGGTTCTCATTTACATCTGGCTTGGAGTTTGATTTGTTAACCTTCGTCACAATCCCACGTTAAGCCTTCTGTTATCTCCTCTGTGTTCCCAGAAGCAATACAAACGCCCACCTTAACACAGAAAGAGTCCATGCGCAGTAAAGAAACGGGGCTGGGGGAGCTGAGTCGGGCTCGCAAGGGAACATCACTGAAGGCCAGCTTAGGTGGGGACAACACTGGAGTGAGTAGAAGCAGGCTGAGACCCTGAGGACAGCTGTGGGCAGGGAAGGAGACCAGGGGCTCTGGCGCAAAGGAGACTCTGGGGTGCAGGTTATGTTCTGTTTCTTGATCTGGGTGCTGGTTCAGGTATATGTTGAACTTGTGAAAATCATCCAACTGCACACTTATGGTTTGTGCATTTTTCTGTACATAGGTTCTATTTCCACAAGAGTATTTTCTTTGTTTTGTTTTTAAAAGAGGGTATTAATAAGACCTGACTTTTGAATTTCCTGAGAGCATTAGCAATAAGAGATGAGTAAAACGGTACAGCTTTAAGCTGTGGGAAAAGACAACAGCTTTGAGGGGCCCATTCTTTCGGGGAGGCATGCGTACAGGGAGACCCACACTTCCAAGGGGCTTGGCTCGGATGGGAGGATTATCTGGCCCACAGAGCTATTCAGAAGACAGAGGGCAGCAGAGCCAGCCAGATGGTCATGGGCACTGGACAAAACCGCAGATGTAATTTGCATACCTGCCATACCCACAAATGTTCAGGAAAGCCACTAAGTCCTCGCAATTTTGGACTCTGGCCTCAGGAATGAAACAGGCCCACAGACTTAGGTGCTGACGCACAGAGAAGCAGGAAGCAAGCAGCAAGGTGAGAAATTCCCCATCCAGGGCTTTCAACTGTCCCAGGGTTTGAGCCAAACTTACTACATTTCCAAGAATCAGAAACGCCCTCAAACGATATCTCATTATACGTATATAAAGTGTCTGGCCCATGATCAGCTCAATAAATGGTAGCTATTACTATTTTCCTATTGGTCTGCAGTGAGGATGTATCTGCCTGGAAGTAGCTGAGCACCTGCCCTGGGAAAGGATCCCACTGCAGCGTATCATCCAAAGATGCCAGGACCACAGCCCCTGTTCTCAGCTTACTCACCATGTGTAAGCAAGTGAGGGGGAAACTGGACAAGCACCAATGATAAACGGCTACTCTGTCTGTCCTTTCAGTGTCATTAAACAGGACTCTGGACAGAAGTGGAGGAGGGGCCGGGCAGAACCCTGGCCAGAAGGCACTCCCATTCCCCACACCCAGAGACAACCCAAAAGGCACAGTCCCGGGGCCTTTAGAACTGATGGCCCCAAAACCCTTTCAACAGCCCCCTAGGCTCCACGATCACCGCTCCACCTTTGAAGATATGCACCGATTATAATCTGCCACCTACACGTAATCATTTATACAGCTGTACTGAAAACCCATCTCCTCCAGTCTCTCTTCCAGGACTTTCACACTGCCTTCTCCACAAGATTCCCTAAAACATAAAAACAAAAAGATAAAAATTAAACAAAAGGAGAAGAGGAAAGAGGAAGTTGTTTCTGGGCTAATTAAAACTTCTTTTGACCATGTTCTCCTTGGATATTCCCCCCTCTGGAAAAGCATTTGGGAAAGTCTCTGAACGCAAAAGCGCTGCTTGCGATAGACCCGCACCGCCCCAGCACGCAGCGCTCGGAACCCGCCATACCGAGCTCAAAGTTTGAGGACTCGCACTGGGAGCGCCTGTGCCGGCGCATGCGCAGTGCGCCACAGGGAGCATCACAGCCCCACCAGTCAACACCCCTCCGCTAAGTGCCCCCCGTCCCAGCTGGCGCAATGCTGACTGCCAACTTGCTCAACCTAGCGTGTATTCAGTTCAGCTTTAAATGGCGACAAAAACATACAAATAAAAAAGTATTAGAAAACGCAAATAAGGAAAAGGAAAAAAAATTACCCCAAATCTCACATCACTAGAGATAACTGCTGCTAACATTTTGGTGTGTATCATTTTAGACTTTTTAAATATATGTATTCCCACGAGACTTTTAAAATATAACAACGAGATTCTGCTGTCCAATGCATTTTGTATTCTGCGTTTGCTCATGTCTGTGTATATACATATATACCCCTCTGCCTTTATTTTTAATTCCTGCTTGGTCTCACTTACATAATCAGGACATGATTCATAAGACCAGCCCCCTCCTGTTAAAGATCAAGATTTATTCCTATATTTCAACATCACTGACGCTACAGTGAACTTCGTTAAACCCTCATTTTCATACATATCCTTAATTATTCATTTCCTTAGCATAAATTCTTGAAAGTAGATTTTCTGGCACCAAGGTTTTGAACGAATTTTAAGGCTCTTGAGTAGCCCTGCCAAACTGAACCCATGCTGACCACTCCAACAGAGTGTGAGATGTCTATTTCCCCACACTGTCATCAACAGGAGTTCTTACCTTCCCAATGGTCACAATTAAGCAGAGGGATTTATAACAACAGACAGAGGTGGCTACAGCACTGCCAGCTGGGGTTAGTCGGCATGGTATTCACATCGCAGGCAGGGCCCTGCCTCAGTGTATGTGGAATGAGAAGGTAAACAGCCTCCCTGCTATAAAATTAATAGAGAGGGAGCATACTAGGAGGAAATGAGCCATTGGAGGAAGTTTTCACAGAAGAAGTGGAATTTGGGGCGTTACAGGAACGAAGAGGGCAAGGTGTTGAATGACATCATGTTTTAGAACCGTGCCAAAATCTGGGATGATGTCCTTCTCTGGGCCAAGTTCATGACGCAGAATTTTTTAGTAAGCAATGATCTGGAGGTTTCAGGACACCTAGACACAGAGCTTAGTCGATGGGTTATTTTACTATTTTTTTAAATAAACACAGCCAAAGCAGTGCTAAACACAATCAGCTGTTAGCTGTGTTGTTTTTAGCTCCCTGCCTCTGATTTTTTTTCCTAAAATCTGAGCAGTTCAGGATTCCCACTTTCTTAGCTCATGGCCAGCGACTCCACCCTATGGCATAAATGTTTGAGCAGGTGTTCTGACTCCGTTATCACCTCTCCTGCAGCGGAAATGAAGCCTGAGAGGACCTTCAACTGCAGTCTCCGTATCTTATTAAAGTCGGTTCAAAGGACAAGCTTTCTCTGATAGATACATCAAAACAACAAGCAAGCATAATTTCTAGACAAAGAGTGACTTCTCCCAGGACTAAGAAAAGCTATATGCATTGTTCTTCATGCAACGGAAAGTATAATTTGTCTTCTGGGAAGAGGAATGCAGATCCTGGTATAACTATGTAATAGGTCATTTGCAAATTTAATCGATTGCCCAAGAAACAGGAAAAAAATATCATTCATTGTATGGTAAGTCTTAGAGGGTCCTGGGGGCCTGAAACGGGGAATTTGCTAAGATTCTCCCAGAATATACTTTCAATAACACATCCACTCACTGGCGTTGGCAACACTTTCCTCTATGTACCATCAATGCTCTGAAGAACAAGGCCCCAGCTTGCCTCTGAAGCGCCATCATGGCTGCACAGCTTTAACTGGCTTGGCCTCACTGGCTTGTCTCTGAACAAACTGGGTTTAAGTTTTTTATCTTCTGCTTTGCCACCAGTGCCCTTCACTGATGAGAAGGATGTGTTCGGGCTTGCGTTTATACAAACTTGAGTGGTTTCCCACAAAATATGGATCTTACAAGTTTTCTTGGCCAATTTGAGACACAGTTGTGGAAGAGGTTTTTCTCTGACAATAAAGTCTTCATTACATAGTCCTTGGGTCAATTCTGAGAACTCCTGGCGAGGGTTTTTGGGCTTCAGACAACCAGACAGAGAAAGTGGTGTTGACCCACACAAATGCGTAAGAAAGTCTCCTATCCAATGCTGCCCAGGCCACTCAGAAAGGAACATGATTTTCCTTGGCTGGGAGGAGTTATCTGGACAAAGGAGGTTTTCTCTGTGGGCTCAGGACTGGCTAGTGGCATTTCCAGAAAGTCAAGCTTTTGCCTTTCTCTACCCACTACATTAGAAACAAAGAAGGCTGCTGTTTCCCCAAAAATGAAAATGTAAAACAGACTTGATGATATCACATCCAAGAAAAGCATGTTTGCACAATTACCATCATCAATAGCACCATAACTTACACATTGGGTCCCCCGATTTCATGCATAACCCAGATCTCAATTCGTGTGATTTTATCCTTCTGGAAGTAAGGGATTTCAAAATCTGCAAAAAAACTGAGAAACAGGAAAGACATTTCTTAAAGTCCTAAGGGAATATGATACTTTTCTATTTCATTGTTAATTGATTTACATATTAAATTTGGTTTTTAGCCTTTATTTTTCAGTCACATTTCATTCATGGATTCATCAGCTGTTAATAGCATAAATGTATAGACTTGGCTCTTATCTCCAGGTCATTGACCTGTTTTGCTCTACTAGAACTTCCAGACAAGCATTAGATTGGAGATTAGGAGGATTCTTTTAAGCTTCCGCTCAAAGGAACTAAATAAACATTTTGGCATCTTTGTTGTTTTTGTTGGTGCTGGCGTTCTTACCCTTTAATAGGATAGGCTCCTGTTGGCTCTGAACCATTCAGCATGACATGGATCACCCCAGAACTATCCTTTGAATACTGCAAGAAGAAGAAACTATTTTGAGTAAACTAAGACATCATTTTTCAGCTATGAAATGAGCGATATTTTTTTTCAATTAACAGTTCTCATCTTGTCAAGAATGTGATAAATTTGGTATTTCATGTGGCTGGTAGGGATGCAACTAGTGTATCTTGGAAAGCAGACTACTTTGAAATGGCAAAAACTCATAGACTCAGTAATTCCATGTCTGGGAATCTACTCTAAGAAAATAATGTGAAATAGATTCCAGCATTGCATCAGCTGGAATAGACTAAACTATGCTGCCATTACAAACAACCTCAAAATCACCATGGCTTTAAACAACAAAGACTATTTCATGCTCATATTACATGTTTATCACAGGTCCATTGTCCTTGCTCTGGGACCCAAGCTGATGAAGTCTCCACATCTGCAAAGTGGCTGACTGTCAGGGGGAAGAAGGGAAAAATGGCAAATCACAGACCAGTTCTTAGAGGCTTCCAACCAGAAGTCGCACAGTCACTCCCACTCACATCTCATTGGCCAGTGCAAGTCACACATAAGTAACTTCAAGAGGCAGAGTAGTGCAAACCACACGCTCAGAAGATGAAACAGAAATATTTGGTAAACAGCACAAAGGACCACCACAAGCACTGTGCGCAAAGATGTGTACTGCAGCGTTGCTTGTAACCAATCTCAAACAGTCAGCAACAAGGGAATGGAAAGCAACCCATGGTACTTACATGTCTGAAATATTAGCCGTCCATTAATAAAAGTCTACAAAAGATTTGCTATAGCATAGGAAGTACTTACATTCAAAGCAAAATGCAAGATTAGATGGATGGAGCATGAGCTCTACTATGTTAAAAAGAAATGGGCAAAAGTCAACGCCTGAAATTCCCAAGGGAGAGATAGGCACAGAGAAGTTCCCAAATCTCCAGTTCAATTACTACTAGAACATTTAATTTCCCTCATAGAATGCTTATGCTAGAATGAGATACGTGTCTGGGGCCACTCTCATTCTCTGGCAAAGTGATGCCAGCACCAGCTGCAGCAAAACAATGCACTTCACGCCACCCGGGTGTCAGATTGCTTCCAAACAGCGCTAACAGCCATGCTTAAATCCTCAGATGCTGATGACCACTAGGCTAAAGAGACTGCCTTTAGGTGGCAGGAATGTGGATGATTAATTTTTTCATCTATGCTTTCCATAATTTGTCATTTTCTATCATAAGCAGCTATTACATTGATGATAAGAAATAAAATTAATTTAAAAAAATGCGTACAGATACAATGAGGCTGTGTGATGTAGTGGTTGAAAATTTGCTCTCTGGAACCAGACTGCCTGGTCTCAAATCCTGCCCCCTGGTCCCTATCCTCCTTATTTGCTCTGTAAGCTTAAGTTAAACTTAAGACTTAAGTTCTTGACCTGTTCTCCCTCATTTTTCCCATCTGTAAAACAAAGGTAATAAGAGTCTCTACTTCATAGGATTGTTGCGAGAATCAAATCATTTAAAATAATAATTATTAACATTTACTGAATACTTCTCTGCTCCGGTTCAGACCCTCTCCTCATCGCTATGCTAAACCACCTCTCCTCATGCCCAGACTACCCAGCATATTCTAAGGGCTCATGAAATGTGGGCACGATGATTATATTCCCATTATAGACCTGGAGGAAGTAGAAGATGGTGGTTTGGAGCACACACTGTGCGGATCCGCTGGGTAGGATATACGGTTCCCTTATGTATAAGGTTGACATCACCCCTGGCTTGCTGTTATGATCCACCCTCAGGTGATGATGCATCTGCAGCCTCCCAGTCCTCAATGAGGGGCTCGGGCAGCCCACTGCCAACTGACTGGAGCCTGCGCTCAAAATGGAACCTGTGGGTAGTGGGCGCAAATAAAGCACTCCCACTGGAGCTGGCAGGAGAGCACGGGAATGGATGGAATGTCTTCTGCCTGGAGCGGGCCCTCTGCTTAGCTCCCAACTGCAACCATGGTGGAGGATCCGACCCAATCCATCTCAGCTCGGTTAACAATGGGCCCAGTGGACACCTGGTGATCCAGATGAGAAAATGGGACCAAAAGAGACACTAATAGCCCTGAAAGGGGGGTGGTGGCAGTGGGTGGACGGACCTGAAGTCCACTCCCAGTCGATATAGCTAACTTTTAATAGTCAACAGCTCTTTGCCAGGCACTCAGCTAAGGACTTAACCCTCTTTATTTCCAATCTTTGGTCTAACCCTGGTGACATAAAATGTTAAGCTGCAGTCACTGGTACTGTATAGCTACTGGTAACTGTCATTTACTCTGGTGACAATATTCTCTGAGGAACGGACCTGCCTTAAGGGGACCATTTCTAGAGCTCCAGTTTATTCTCAGTCTCTTATCACCTCCTCTCCCATTATTATCAGTCTTATGGACATTCCTGACCCCCACGTCTCGATCCCAGATGTCCTGGGGTCTCCCACAAAGCAGGGGTTGCCTCATTTTACACAGCAACCAAAATCACATTGATTGTGAAATATTAACAACCACCACGACATAATAGTAATAATAATAACTATTCATGTCCTCATCTATAGCTAACATTAGCTGAATGTTTCTCTGCCAGGCACTATACTAAGTATTTTAGCTCCTTAAATTCTCACACCTTTATGGAGCGGAGAGAATGAATCAGAGTGTTCCAAAGGCTCAGAGAAGTTAAGTAACTACCTGACGGCCCAATCTCTGAACCCCTTTGCCCCATGTTCGTGGGTCCCACATCTGCTCAGCCACCCAGCAGAACAGATGCAAACACTGCCGCCCTTCAAGCAATGTGACATAATCAAATCGGAGACAGCAGTTTTATTATATTAATAGCATGACTCTTGTTCAACATAAACTCATGAGATTTTCAATGAATCTTCATCCTCAACCTCAACCTGTCCATCCCAGGATTACCTGGATGGATGCCCTTTTCCAGTAAGAATCCACAGGATTGTTTTCACAATCTTCTGCCGTAGGGCAGGATTGGTAATCGAGTCCTAAGGGGAAAAGAGACAAACGTTTCATTTCAAAGTTTATATCAGGGAAGAATTAACTTAAAATATTTGCCAGCTCCCCAAAATATATTTAGCCTGCATTCTGCACAACATGCAGGAATTTGACATTCACAGCTCTACCCACCCAGTCCACAAGGAGCCTGGTGAGTGACCACCCAGCCCGTGATAGGAAGACATTTGTCAATCTACTCGTCACAAATATGAGGAAGGTGGAGGCCTAAGCAGCTGGGTTATTTCTCGACTGGAGCTCTACTAAAGTGATAAAAAAATTCTTTGCTCTATTGGGAGAAGCACCTTCTCCAATTAACTCTGGTCTTGGAAGTGAATACAAAAAAGTAGCCTAAGAAAAGTGATAGTCCTAACCCAGAAAAAAAAATTATAACATTTAAAATATATAAAATGTTAAAATATATTAAATTTTTAAAATTTTAAATTTTATATCTGCAAAATTCAGCAGATATATAATGGGATTTGTTCCCCATTTACTCTATAAAAAAGGAGAAAGTTCTAATTGACAAATCATCCCAGGGAGAACCAAACAGGGCAAAATGTGTCCTTCCTGAAGGGACACATGTGGAGCTCCCATGCCCTTCTGGGTGCACCACCCTCCCAGCACCTCGAGGTGTCACCATCTTGGAAGCCCTGGAACCCTATCATTTAGGGGTTTTTATGGAGATTTCATTGTGTAGGCATGATTTACTAAATCATTGGCTATTGGTGATTAACTCAATCTCCAGCCCCTCTCCCTTTCCCCGACGACAGGGGATGGGGCTGAAAGTTCCGACTCTTTAATCATACCTTGGTCTTTCTGGTGACCAGCCCTCATCCTGAAGCTATCTAGGGGCCCCCAACCACCAGTCATCTCATTACCACACTAAAGACACTCTCCTCACTCCTCAGAGTCCAAAGGTATTAGCAGCTGCGTGCCAGGAACCAGGGGACAAAGACCAAACATTTATTTTGTATTACACCACACTCTCTCTCTTCATAGTCTTTCCATCACATCCTCCCTCATTCTCCCCCATTCTCCACAGGATAATCAAACCGAGGCTTCCTGGTCACTGTCCACTGGAAGAATGGCCATGGCCATTTGACCTGTACCTTGCAATGCTTCCAATCTCACTCACAGTGAAAGCCAGAGTCCTCACAATGTCCTGTGCTGTCTGGCCCTCGTTTATTCCTCTAGCCTCATAGCCTACTACATTTATCTTTACTTACTGTTCTCCTTGCTGTTCCTTAAATATGCCAGACACACTTCCACTCAGGATCTTTGCACTTGCTGTTCCCTCTGACAGGGAATGCTCTTCCCCATCTCCTTCATTCCTTTGCTCAAATATCACTTCTCAGTGAGGCTTTCCTTGGACACTGATTAAAACTGCAACACTTTCCTCTCCCCTCCTCACCTCTGCGGCACCTCCTTTCCTCTTTGCCTGTTTGGTTTGTCTCTGTACCCCTTATTTTATGGCAGACTATATATTTTACTTGCCTGTTTATCCCCTCCCTCCATAATGTAAGGATGGGGTATGATTTTCCTGTTTTATCCTCTGCTATGTTCTCAGTGAGTAGAAGAGGAGGGCCTGACACACAGTAGGCACTCTATGAATTTAGTTGGATAGACGAATGAAGGGAGGAGAATAAACAGAACTGAGCTTAGGTAAACTCATAGAGTGACTCCGATACCCAGGGAGGAACAATGTCTAGCCTTCACGGAGGGAACACGTCCCCCCACCTCCTTTCCTGGTGGGCCTTCCTCCTGCTCCTCCTTAAAGATCCTCATGAGTCAAGAGCCGCTGCAAGCTTCCCCGATGCCCTGGTCTGGGCTGGTGTCTCACTCTGCCACTCCTTAGCTCCCAGTTCCTCCTGCATCAGGGCACAGGCTCTGACAGGCTACAAGCTCCCTGAGCCGGAACCACTGTATCAGCAGTTTCTAGCGTGGGAGCTGGATGAGTGAAGAGAGTTTTCACTGCCATCAGGGCAGCCCTTGTGACTTTAACTTTCACAGTGACTTTAATCCAGAAATATCTCCTGGCTGCCAGGAGTGACATTTAAGAGCACAAGTTTCAGAATGCGGCAGAAGAGGGTTGAACCCTAGCCCTACTTCCTCAAGTCATTAATCTCCCTAAGCCTCAGTTTCCCCCTTCTGGAAAATGAGGATAGAGAGGCAGACTTGTGCAGGGTGGGAGCATGAGCTCTGGAGTCAGACTGTCCAACTCTGCTGCTTATTAGCTGTGCAACCCTGAGCAAATTTCTTAACCTTGCTGTGCCTCAGTTTTCACAACTGTCCAAATAGGAATTAGGATAGGACCTATTCCACAGAGCTGTTGCAGAGATTAAATCAGTTAATATTTATAAAGTGCTTAGAAAGTACCCAGCAAAGCTAAGTGCTCTCTATCTATTATTCTTATTTTTAATTAGTATTATTACCACCTACCTCAGAGGATCGAGGGGGATCAAATGAGGTAAATGTATATGAAAGCATTTAGCACAAATGGCAAATGCATAGTAAAGGAATTCTTACTTTTCTTGTGATTTGTGCAGGAGTCTTACCGGAGGCATTTTCCTGTCGACACCAGCTCAAGAAATCTCCAACCCTGCCGTACAGGACATCACACAGAGGTGTAAAGCGACGGGTGTTGTCTGCATAGCTGGTGACAAGGAGGTGGTTATTTTCCCAGAACAGAGACTAAGGAAAAACAAATACAAAATTAAAATGTAAAATAAAAGCAAAACAGATTTTTTTCAGGTCCAATATCATTAAGTCAGCCGTCCATTTCTCATTGAACTCTGGCTTGCCTCACGACAACCGAACATTCTTTCTCTTTGTCTTTATTTACCCATTCAGAGTGCTACCACCTCTCTTCCCTTTATTCCAAGGGCATCATGCAAATGCTAATGAAGTATTTTCCTAGTAATACAATATTGAATATATATTCCTGGATTTAAAAAAAGATCAAGGGACCTGGGTTCGAATCCTGACTCTGTCATACACTAGACGTGATCTTGACCAAGGCGTGTAATTTCCTTGTGCCTCAGTTTCCACATCGGAAAAATGGGGTGCATGAGCTCTTTCTCTTCTTCCACAGCTGTGGTTAGGATGCTATGTGATCACAGAAAGTACTTCCTGAAGTGTAAAGTGCCTCAAAAGTGCATTACTTTTATATTATATGTCAGAGTTTCCACTATAAAGTTATAGAGTTTTCACATCACAATAATGCAAATAACAATATCCCGCTTGCCCATTATCTCCTCAGATCCTCGGGAGTCCAGTCAGTCCATGTCTAGACTGGGTGCTCCCTGAGGGCAGGGCTGTTTTGCTCCCTGCTGCCTCCTCAACCCCTGCATGATGCCTGGCACATGGAAGGAGCTCAGTAAATATTTACTGAGTTCACCAACCAGCACCAAAATCTATGAGAGAGGAGAACAAAATTTCGGGCTCCCCGTTTTACTGATAGGGAGGCAGCAAGATTCCAAATGCAACATATACTTAAAAATCATGCTTTCAGTCTGTTATATCTCTGAACCTCCCGGCTTCATTTACTTGATTTTAAAAATGAAAACATCAATGTTAAGATTATTTGTTAGGGTCAATATTCCCTGATTTTACAGTGAAAAAATCAGGTTAGGAATTATGATGTCAGGGAGACAAATACTGTGTGATCTCACTCATATGCGGAATATAAAAAGGAAACAACAAACAAACCAACCTGGTAGAAAAAGAGATCAGACTTGTGGTTAGCAGAGGCGGGGGTAGGAGGAGGGAAAATTAGAGGAAGTGGTCAAAAGGTACAAACTTCCCGTTATAAGATAAATAAGTACTAGGGAGGTAATATACAACACGATGACTATAGCTAACACCGCTGTACAAGATACAGGAAAGGTGTTAAGAGAGTGAATCCTGAGAGTTCCCATCACAAGGAAAAACTTTTGTTTTCTTTTTCTTTTTTTGTACCTATATGAGATGATGGATGTTAACTGAAGTTATTGTGGTAATCATTTCACAATATATATAAATCAAATCATTATGCTGTACACCTTAAACTTATATAGTGCTGTATGTCAATTATATCTCAATAAAACCGGAGAAAAAAAGAATTATGTCAGAGAAATAAAAATGGTATCAAATTTTCTTTAAACTCAAGGTATTGTTCTAAGCAAGCATTTTATACAGATTTTCTCATTTATTTTCATTTTCTTAGAACTTTGAGTGCAGACAGAACACAGACATGGTTTTCTTAAAGAAACTGGTACCAAATAGATAAAATCCTAAGGCCTGTTAAAAGGAGGGATTGGTTTTCTGGGAGGATGCTGAGGTTGAGGGTTTTCTGAATTACTCAAGGTTCAGTCCTTTGGGGCCAGTCAGGACGGAGGTTATTCAGAATTGGCTAGGGACAGAGGCCCAGTGAAAAGGTCCTGATGTCCTTGTGATTCCTGCACTGACTTAGGAAGGTTCCTTCTGCCCACAACAGGCAGGAGGCCCAGGGTCACTGTTGAAAACAGAGCCACCTTCCCACCACAGAGCTGTGCATGCACATCGTGAGTTTGTTGTTTGTTGTTTCAGTGACACTGCAGGGTCGCTGAGGGCAGCTGATGTCACACCTGGCCCGTGCACTGTCCATCTCTGGAGACAGACAGCCAGGTTTTACCTTGTCTCTGGGAAGAGAGTGCCTGGAGAGGCTGATAAAAAGGTCATAGTCCGAGGGAAGCACAGAGCAGGGATCCTTATCCAGCACCAGTTTAAAGGCTTCCCAGATGGCTGTGCAGTTCTTGTTCCTGTGCAAAAGAAACAGAAATTACAATATGATAGATTTCTATTAAAGCACTCCAAGAGTTTTACAAGCCCTTATGTCATATATCAAAAATATAACTTAGGTGATGGATTTAGAAATCTGACAGTGGAAGTGTCTCTCAGAAGGCGCTACACAAATTTTGTAGAGCCAAGGAAGACAGTTTTGTCCCAGGCTCACAGAGAGAGCAGAAAAGGCACTGAGATAGGTGACAGTTCCAATAAACCACACAGTCTCCCAGCTTCAGGGGCCTCTTCATTTAAAGATGTGGTCCATTGTGGGGTTGGGAGCCAGTGAGGTCAGGCGGACGTGCCGGACCTTGTAAAACCAGGAGTGAGCGCCAAGTGTTGAGAAAGGCTGTTCCACCTCCTGCCAAGGCAGAGTATGACTTCCACTGCCAGCTACGAGTGTTGAAGAACATTCCAGCTTTCCCAAAACATTTCCCCTTGCATTTGTAACTTTTTATTTTCCATGTTGGGTGCTGGGTAACATGGGTGTTCCTTATCTTATTTTCTGCTCTTTTTTATTTGCCTTAAATATGTCACAATAGAAACAACGGGCAGGGCCAGCCCCATGGACGAGTGGTTAAGTTCCTGCGCTCCACTTCCACAGCCCAGGTTCAGATCCTGGGGCAGACATGGCACCGGTAGTCAGGCCATGCTGAGGTGCGTCCCACATAGCACAAGCAGAGGCACTCACAACTAGAATATATACAACTATGTATGAGGGGGCGGGCGGGGGGTTTTCGGGAGAAGAAGAAAGAAAGATTGGCAACAGATGTTAGCGCAGGTGCCAATCTTAAAAAAAAAAACTGGCACAAGAAGGGGACTCTATGAAAACAGAAAAAGTGGGTACAAAGAAGGAACAAAAAATTGTAAGAAGCCAGTGCTGGCAAGAAAAACTCAAACTTAAAAAGTCCTCTAGATTAGAAGATCTGAAATTTGAATTCCCAAAATACCTGGACTCATGGAATTCCAGCTGGAGACCATATGCCTGGCTTTGATGGTGCCGGCTAAGCATATGCTGGTTGTCATCCAAACCTATCTCTACCTAATCGTCACCTCTAGACCACTCCTATCCTTCCTTCATTTATATGCACACACACAAGCACACCCCTCACCTCCAGACCCCACACAGCGCCTCTCTCGCCCGTAGATTCCCCACCCCATGCCTCCCCAACCTCTAAACTCGCCACCCTCCACACTCGGCTCCCCTGACCTTTAGAACCCCCACCTTCCCCCCACCCACACCCCTCTTTTTAAGACCCTCTACTTTCCCCCACGCCCCTGACCTTCAGACCCCATTTCCTCCTCCCCACGCCCTCCTCCCCTCTAGATTGCCCATTTGCCCCTCCCCTTGTCTTTTTCTCCCCCGCCTTTACTTCTCCTTCTTTCTCTCTCAGTCCCCTCCTCCTCCCCGCCCCCAGGCTCCCCGGCCGCGCTCACTGCTCTTCGGGGCTCAGCAGTGGCCTGTAGTCGTTGCAGCGGCCGAGGAAGATGCTCTGCAGGTTCGGGCTGGTCCCCTCTCCGTTCCACCGCGCGCCGGCAGCGCCCGCGGCGTCCACAGCCAGCCGCGGCAGCCACAGCAGCAGCAGCAGGAGCGCGGGCAGCAGCAGCCGCGAAGGTTTGCACCCCCGGGCAGACATCGCGGGGACTTCGGAGGGCCTCCTGGACTCGCTGCTTCTCCTCGCACTAAAGTGGCTGCGCCCAGCTGACAGTGGGCACGACTGTCGCCCTGACACCACCCTCGCTCGCTTTCTGCCCCTTTCCGCTTCAGTTCCTGGACTGAGTTGGAACATCACGGAGGACAAGATATTGCTCTTGGCTCATCTTGGCCACAGTCCAGGAGGAGGGAGCCCCAAAGAAGAAGCAAGGTTGGAGAATAGATGAGGAGAGTTCAGTCATCGGAAGGAGGATGTTTCTTCCCCCAAACTATGAGAACGTCGACAGACGCCCTCTTCCTCAACGGCCACTGATGAGTAGGCTTGCTTTGTTTTCAGGAAATAAGAACCACAAAACCTAATATTTATTGAACTATTACTATGTGCCACACACTCTAAAAGCATAATTTTCATTTACTTTTCACAACATCCCCCTGAGCTAAGTTTCTCATCTCCATTTTACAGATGAGGAAACTCAGGGAAGTTAACCAACTTGTTTTTCAGGAAATCATAACCTCAAACACTAATATTTACTGAGCTGTTATTATGTGCCAGGCACTCTAAAAGCATAATTTTCGTTTACTTTTCACAACATCCCTCAGAGTTAAGTTTATCATCCTTATTTTACGGATAAGAAAACTCAGGGAAATTAAGCAACTTCTTGGAGGTCACAATCTCACTTCCTGATGGATCCCAAATCCTAGAGACAATTAGTTTAGAGAGCTAGGATTAACAGAATTCCACTTACAGGGCCAGGTCCTCAATTTTTGCAGTAATTTAGTCGCTATGGCATATTCTCAAGAAGCTATTGGAGATAGGCTCCATAAAACAAGAAAGAGGAAGACAGAGAATCCAGGAAACTGGGCATCAACTCAGGAGAGACAGGAAGGAGGCAACCAGGATGACAACTTCAAAGCAAGTCAAAGAGCAGCAAGCTCAGATTGAGACAGCAAAATGGTTGAGCAGATACCTCACCAAAGAACATTTTCACACCAGGTATTTACCAAAGAAAAAATAGAAATATGTCTACCCAAAGATTTATACATGAAATGCTCATAGCAGCTTAATTCATTATAGCCCCTAAACAATGTAAATGTCCAACAAGAATAAATAATCAAATTGTCATATAGTCATACCATGGACTACTACTTGGCAATACAAAGGAACAAAGTACTGATATACTGAAAAATATAATATATATTATATACACAATATAATATATATATATATATACTGAATGAAAGAAGCTAAACCTAAAAGAATACATACTTTATTATTCCCATTATATGTAGTTCTAGAAGAAGGAATAGGATGCTGACGTATAGAGTTAGGGGAAAAGAGATTTCAGATGGAACCAATTGCCTGAGCAAAGGAAGAATAATGGAAAAGCATGGAGCTTCTCTTGAAAAAGATAAAAAATTTAGTTTGACTGGTGAAGAGGGTGGAGGTTGAGACTTGACAGCAAAGTTAGGTCATATCTTAAAGACCTTGAACACAATACTAATTTGAATTTTGATCTCTTGAACCTTAAGAGCTTTCAATACTTCTTGAACTTCCTTATTGAAATCTTTGTCTCTTTTGTTGGTTGGAATTCTTGGTTGCTAGAGGCTGAAGAAAGGTCATACATTTAAAGATCTTAGAAGAGTGTGTTTCATAGTGTCCTCTCAATGTTTGTTTTGAATAGTTACCATCACGGTATTTATTCCTTGTGTTTACTTTCTGTTATGGAAGGCTGAGTAAAAGCTCCACAAAGATGTCCATATCCTAGTTCCCTGGAACCTGTGAATATGTTCCGTTGCATAGTAGGAGAGACTATGTAAATGTGATTAAGTTAAGGATCTTCAGATGGACAGATTATAATGGACTGTCTGGATGGGTCCAATGTAATCATAAGGGTCCTTATAAAAGGGAAACAGCTAGATCAGGGAAACAGTTAGATCAGTGACACAGAGAAAACAATGTGATGATAGAAGCAAAGAAATATTTGAAGGTGCTACGTTGCTGGCTTTGAAGATTCAGGAAGGGGCCATAAGACAGGGAATGCAGGCAGACGCTGCTAGAAGCTTGGAAAGGTAAGGAGACAGATTCTTCCCTGGAGTCTCCAAAAGGAACAAGCCATGCTAACACTTTGACTTTAGTCCAGTGTGACTGTCATTAGACTTCTGATTTCCAAAAGATAATAAATTAGGTGTCGTTTTAAGCCACTAAGTTTCTGGTAATTTGTTACAGCAGCAATAGGAAACTAATATAGATTTTGGTGTCTGGAAGCATCCTCCTTTCTGCCTTCCTTTTTTTTCAGTTGCAAGACTGAGCTTGGAACCAGGAACAAGATTATTACTCTTTGCTAATCTTGGCCAGGATCTGCAGGAGGGTACCTCAAAGAAGAGGTGAGATTGTGGAAAAGGTGAAGTGAGTTCAGTCATTGAAGAAAGAAGTTTTTCTGGCTCCAAAATATGGCAACTCTACTGTAACAAATACTAAAAATATGGAAGTCGTTTGGAGTTGGGTAATGGATAGAGGCTGGAGGAATTTTGAAGAACGTGATAGAAAATGCCTAGATTGCTTTGAACAGACTGTTAGTAGAAATATGGGTGTTAAAGACTGCTGGTGAGGTCTCAGAAGGCAGTGAAGAGCATGGTAAGGAAAACCTACACAATCTTAAAGAATACCTAAATCATAAGCAAACTGTAGAAAAACAGATGTTAAAAGCAATGCTGGTGAGGATTCAGAAGGAAATAAAGAACGTATTTTTGGAAACTGGAGGAAAGGGGGATATGCATAAAGGTAGAAAGCTTAGATGAATTGTCCTATAATTAAATAGAAAATAGAACTTGTAAGCAATAACCATGGATATTTAGTTGAAATTTCCAAGCAAAGTATTGAAGGTGTGACCTGGGTTCGTCTTGTTGCTTTCAGTAAAATGTGAAAGAGATAAAATGAGAGAACTGCTACAAAAAGAAACCAGAATTTGATGATTTGGGAATTTCTCAGCCTATCCAGATTGCAGAAGATGCTAAAGCTAAGAGACCCACTGTCAGGAAAGCATGCTCTCGAAAGAAAGCCAATGATGTGGTCGGACTTTTTTAATTTAAAAAAAATTTTAGAATTGTGGTAAAATATACATAAAATTTGTCATCTTAAGCACTTTTAAGTGTGGATAGCCTTTTGCTAGTGCTTGGAAAGTACAAAATGGTAGAGCATTCAAGCACAGAGGGTTCTTTGAGGAGTGTGTGATGCATGAGTACGGTCAGCTATCTCAGCAGAAGCTAAAAAGAGATGAGATTATTCAGGAAAAATCTAGAGAGTAGCCTCTTTTCTAGCAGAGTGAGTCCCTGTGACCCACAAAGTTTTTAAGAATGTTATACCAATCGAAACTTTGTCAAGTTGGACTAAAAAGGACAGAGGACAAAATAAAAGAAGGCTGTCAGACTCCCAAAATTCTATAGGCAGAAAACAGGCTGATAAAAAGTACTCAGTGGCAGACATGTGCCGCTCTCCAAGGGTGGAGGCACAGTTCCAGAGTGGAGTCATGGGTCCAGAGGGCAAAGGCAGAAGCCACATAAGAGTTACTCCCAAACTTTGAAACGTAGTGGAGTTTACCCAGGTGGACTTTGAAAGTGATTGGCTCGTGACTCCTTTTTGCCTTTCATTTTCTCCCTTTTTGAGTGGGAATGGCTGTCACTGTTACCCTATGTCTGTCCCACCACTGTATTTTCAGAGCAGAGAGCTTGCTGTCTAGGTTCACAGGTTGACAGAAAGATTTTGACCCATACAAATTTAGATGATTTAGATGTGAGATTTGGGACTTCTGAGCTGATAGACTTAGACGAGATTTTGGAGTTGATGCTGTAAAGGGCTGAGACTTTGGGGGACCTTGGAATGAATGAATTTCTCATGTGGGATGGACGTGAGTCTTTGAGGACCAGGGGGTGGACTGTGTTAGGCTGAATAATAATCCCCCTCCAAAGATGCCCAAGTCCTAAACCCTGGGACCTGTGAATGTTGCCTTACATGGTAAGAGGGATTTTGCAGAAGTGACATATACTGACAGAAAGACACAAGATCTCTGCGTCAGGCACAGTTTATTACTCATAGCAAAAAAAGAAAGCAGCCAGATAAGCACTGTGTGTCAGTTCCCCAGGCCCCAATTCCCACAGCATATTGATATGAGCCAGGTGTTACCTCTGCATCCAGTGGGTTGCACCCCAGGAGACTCTAGGGTTTTGTGGGGCTGCTGGTACATCTTCCCATCCTCCCCTACAGAGAGATTACTCATTATTCCTGGAATACAAGCAAATGTCTCTGGAGAGAGGATGGAGAGGGCTTTATCTTTACTTCCCTGGGGTGTCTCTAGGGAAGATGTGTCTAGCTTCACTATCCTGGAATGTCTCCTTATACAAGTATTCTTAACTTGGTTGCTAATATTTTCATTCAGAGGATCCAGACAGTGCAGAAATGGGAGCTATTCATGCAGAATTGTCTTCCAACACTTTATTCCAAGCACCAAAAAAGGGAAAATCTATTACCTTTAATAGAATAGAAAATCTGAAAAATCAAGTATTACAATAATGCTAAGTGTGGCTGATGGAAAGGAATTGCTAACCTATATGATTTTAGACAAAGACCATGCCAAAAGAAACATCGCCCCATGAAATCACGGAATATGTAGAGAGGCAGAAGTTGAAATTAGTTTGAAGATATACTAAGCAATCTAAGTCATTCAGTTTTCAGCAACAATATGAGAAGTAACATCAATGCCATTTTTGGATGCTTATAGAGATTATCTGACAAAATCAGATTTTAAAATATAAAAAAAGGCAAAGAAATTTGCTACACACTTAATAATTATTCCTGAGAATATGACCTCAAGTTACAGATATATCATTGGTCCATTTGTTCTTCATCAAATATATATGAAATACCCCTACTGTGTATCACGCAAGATGGATATGACCTCTGCTCCTAGGGAGCATTCATTCCAGGGCATCAGATTGACAGAACTAGTAATCAAATAAATAAAAAATATTTTAAATTATATAGTACAAAGAGAGAAAAGGAAGAACAATGGAGGATGTACCAACTAAGGTGGTTAGGAAAGACTTCTTTAGGGAAGTTAACATTTAATTCAATCTATTCTCAAAATAGCAGTCTTTTAAAACCTGGTTCAGATCACATCTCTCCTCTTCATAACCCTTCAATTGCTCTCCATTTCACTGACAAAAACCCAGTGGCCCTATAATGGTCACAGGACCCTTTATGATTTGATCCCCAAATAGATCTCTAACCTCCTTTCTTATGACTCTTTCTATAGCACTTATTATCTTCTAAATATTATAAAGCTTATTTATTATGTATACTGTCTCTCTCTCTTTGCCAGAACGTAAGCTCCACTAGAGAATAATCTTTTTCTTCATTTTGTATCCCAAATGTCTCTACAACAGCTCCTGCCCTCTAATAGAAGTTCACTAAATTTTAGCTCAATGGACACAAAAATACATTATGATTTTATTAATGTTTAAAGATAACAAAAATAAGAACATACCAAAATTATCACATTACAATGTTTTATTTACATTTAAACATGACATAGAAAAACATCACAAAATAAGAAACACAAAAACAAAAATCAGGTAAGAATTATTTAATGTGATGGGTGTGCCTGCCTGTTTATAAGTTCATTCCAGTCTGGAACACAGGAGGACAATGCTACCCGCATATCTGCTGTTCCATTCAATCCATTTCTTTCCTTTGTTTTTAACTTGGTTAAGACTGAAAACCCTAGTTCACACAAACTAGTTGTTGTGAATGGTAATAATAGCAGGACACTCTTTCTACTTAGCAAAGGAAAGTCTTCCTTTATCTTAATCCAAAACGCCGATAAACTTAGTGTTTCATAATCATTCTTCAATGTATATGAAGAACTAAGCTGCAATAACTCATTCTCTTCTTCAGGCACCAAGTTTAACTCAACTATTGATTCTGGGTTTCGAAAAGCAAATGGATCTTTTACCCAACAGTTTCCCCTTAATGTTTCAAATTTCTCTTCTGGAAAGAAATGATTAAAAGTTTGGGATAGAGAAGTGAGATGCAACAAGATCTCTAACTTTATTTCTTTCAAAATGTTTTCATTAATAATATTCTCTTCAATATGTTGCAAAAATCTTGGAAACATGTAGTAGCTAGGATGATTGCTTTTAAGCCTTGCTTCCCATAACAATAATGTCTTTCGGAATCCTTGGATACGTTCGACATGTTCAAATATATCACTGCTTTTCCCCTGTAGTTTTAAACTCAGTTCATTCAGAATACCAAAAATATCAGTTAAATATGCCAATTTTGTTACCCAAATATCATCTTCAAAAATACTTGCCAAATGAGATTTTTTTTCAATGAGAAAAATGTGAATTTCATTCCTGAATTCATAAACCCTGCTTAGTATCTTCCCATGAGACAACCAACGAACTTTGGTATGATACAGTAAGTGGGCATGGTTAGTTCCAATCTCTGAACAAAATATTTCAAGAAGTCGGCTATTTAGTGAGCTTCCTTTAATAAAATTAACAACTTTTACTGCATTTTTCAATACTTCCATGAGATTCTGTGGAATTTCCCTGGATGCTAACGCTTCACGATGTATAAAACAATGATTCCACACAGCTCCATTATTAGTAACTTCTAGCAATTTTTTAACTACTCTGCTATGTTTTCCAGTTATGTTTGCTGTTCCATCACTTGTAATTCCTTTGCAGTTTTTCCAGTTTAATTTATATTGACCAACAATGCACTTTTCTAATTCTGTAAAAATATTTAATCCACTTAGGTGTGAGGTTAAATTTAAACAACACAAAAAATCCTCCATAAAATCATCTTGCCATACATATCTGACATAAACTAAAAGTGTCATGCAGCTTCCAATATCAGTGCTTTCATCAAGCTGGATCGCAAAATCTACACCAGACTGTAAGCGAGTAATAAGCATTGTTTCTAAATGTTCTGCAATAGTACAAATTCGAAGAGATATTGTGTTATCACTAGGTATAGTTTTTAATTTATCAGCTGATTTATCATCAAAAATTGTACGCACCATATCCAAACATGCTGGAAGAATAATTTTTTCAGCAGCTGTGTGAGCCATTTTCTCTTTTGCCACACGATACGCAACTAAATATGATGACAATAAGGCTTTTTCGCTAACAGTAGTAGAACTAAGAAATTGTGTTGATAACTTTACATCTTTTTTCTTTCTTTGAAAATATTCAAGAGGCTTATCAATAAGTTCAGCATGCTGAGTTTCTAAATGCCTTTTTAACTTTGAAGGTTTTAAGCTTTCATTTGCAAGAATATTATTACAAATAACACACTGAGGTCTGTCCTTTTCAAAGGGTTTTTCACATTTGATAAAACCATATTTTAAATAATCTTCATTATAACGTCTTGCACTTACTTTTTTCTTTTTGAAATGTGGCTCAAACAAAGTTGAAGTTTGCAGATTAGAGTCAATATTTTTCTCAATACTGTCACTATTCACACTGCCAGATCCAACAGTTGAACTTGAACATGCTTCTGCATATTTCACTTCATTAATCCTTTTTCTTTTAAAAACGAAATGATCCATTTTAAAAGTAATTTTGATTAAAATGTTGTAATTGCCACTAACTCAAATATATATATATATCTATAGCCTAGATAACATCTTTCCAAAAAATGTAGTTTGTAACTGCATCTTGGTTGAACATCAGACTTCACTTCTAGTTGCAGGTCATGGCAACATAAATTAGACTGCACATCAACCTTGTTATTATGAAAACCAAACAAGATACCAGTGGACAAATGATTGAAAAACCATTTCTTGGCCAATATACATTCTATTCATCATATCCCCTACATGAACTATCTTTTCACATACTGAAACTGACCTTAGTATTCCTTGCAATGTGCACAATTCTGGCAAAGGATTCATGCAAAGCATCCTGATATATTTTATTTCTTTTTAAAAAAATGTTCATTGTGACTCACAGAATTGATTTCATGACCTACCACTGTGTCACACCTAATATGAAAAACATTGATATAGAGACATTTTCCTCTGTTGTGCTGGTAGCTTGAGTATGTCTGCTTGATGATCAAAGAAACTAGCTTATCTGCTAGACTGTTGGCTGGTACAAGAACTGTCTTGAAGTAGCAGGTATATATCTTAGATTTTCATTCCTGATACTTTTTGATGGGAAGAGTTTTTAAAAGTGCCAGTTATGGTCTGATCTAGTGAGGATCCAATAAAATTTTCCATGGCTAGGTGAACTAACAGGTTGGAGCTGGTAATATTTTTAGAACTTTCTTGGAATGCATCCTTGACCTGGGAATAAAACCAGAGACATGACATTAACACATCACAATACAGAGCAATATTACTGCCAGCTATGGAGACCTTTGGATATCCAAGGTCATGGGTGCTTAAGGAAAAAGCCTGGAGCTCTTCTCATCACTGTGCTATATAGGGTTAGGGCTATTTCCGTAAGGCAAAGCACCTCAGCCAAGATTGGTAAATAGGAAAAATGATGTCAGTAAAACCTGGAAGTTGGCGTCAGGAGTTGCAAAGTACGTTGACAAAATTGAATACAGCAAGTCATGGAGGAGTAGCTCATTCACCATATAGACTTTCTCTTAGTAAAATTTGGCCTTGTCCATCTTGGAACTACTTACTGCACTGCTCTCTTTGATCTTAGCGTATTTGGGTCTTATCACTGTAACACAGCATTTCCTTACATGCCTTTCCATCAACTTATGTCACTTGTTGGGGGGAGGGGTAAAGTCATATTTACTATAGTGTTTTTTATTACAAATTCAATGTCTTAGCGTTAATATTTCTATTAGGATTGTTTGCATTAACAATATTTTCTTATTTTCTGTATTCTTGGTGCTCTGGCATCTGGGTTCTCACTAATCAGGGAGGGACTGATCCTCCCAGGGTTAGTTAATTCCTAGGGAGAGCAAACAGCTCAACCTAGGTACACAACTTTCATGTGCAAACTAACCAATTCAGAGCCCACACTACCAGTACTACCCACCCTCATCAGGCTCTTATACTCCACCAATATTCTCCTGCTCTGCTCACCCCAGGGCCAGGTACCAGGCAACTAGGGACAGCCCTCATGCCTTAGAGCCTGCTGAAATTATTCAAGAAGCCAATCCCAAACCTGCTTACCCTGCCTCACCCATTCCCTCCGTAAAAAAACTATAATACAGGCTTTTCTGCAGTCCCCCTTCCACTCCCTCTGCCTCCTGACCAATCCTGGTGCCCCAAACCCACCCCCACCCCCCACGTGGAATGGCATGCTCTGCCTCCTGTTTCTAGGGATCTGTGAGTATAAAAACTTTCTACTTCATGATGGCCATTTCTGTGTCTGTGTATCTTATCATACCTGATTAAAACAAATTCCTGGTATATTTAAAATCATTTTTATTTTGTTATTGCCTTGTTACAAAGTAGCATAGTTTGGCCCTAATCCTACTTTCCCCATAAGGTCTGTTATTTTTTAGTATAAATTTTGCATGCCATGAGTTCCTCTAGGAAGTCATAGTGTTAAAACTGAAACACGCGTATGTTGAGATTACTTTTATTACTTGCCCGGTGAATAGATTCCCCCTATCACTTGAGAGAAAGATTGGAATCCCCCAGTTTTAGAGACAAACTAAGTATTTTTTTTTTTTTTAAAGATTTTATTTTTTCCTTTTTCTCCCCAAAGCCCCCCCGGTACATAGTTGTGTATTCTTCGTTGTGGGTTCTTCTAGTTGTGGCATGTGGGACGCTGCCTCAGCGTGGTCTGATGAGCAGTGCCATGTCTGCGCCCAGGATTCGAACTAACGAAACACTGGGCCGCCTGCAGCGGAGCGCGCGAACTTAACCACTCGGCCACGGGGCCAGCCCCGAAACTAAGTATTTTTCATTCTAGATATCACCCATCCTTCACCTATGAGTGAAACAGAGTACGGTACAATACACAGCAAAGTATAAGTTTCAGGAATACCAGGCAGCACTCAAAAACGTGCTACAAATGATCTGAATGCCATCAATGTTCATCAGCCTGTTGCCATTGTATTTATGTGGGTGCCTGATCTTTTAATAATAAAGCATCATAGGGATGGTAACCTTGAAACAAAAAGATGTTGCCAGAAGGGAGACAGTTATAGCCCTGGTGATATTCTTCTGTGAGACTTCCTTAATTATATCTACAGGGACTTTATTCTTAACAACAGTAAACTTGAAGGGGAGTTACAGTATGTCATGTACAATGCATTTAAAAAAAATTAATAGATTTTATTTTTCTAAGAGCAATTTTAGGTTCACAGCAAAACTGAGTAGAAGGTAGAGATTTCTCATATACTCCCTGCCCCCATATATGCATAGTCTTCCCCATTATCAACATCCCCCACCAGAGTGGTACATTTGTTACAGTTGATAAACCTACACTGACACATCATAATGACCCAAAGTCCGTAATTTACACGAGAGTTCACTCTTGGTGTTGCACATTCTATGGGTTTTGACAAATGTATAACATGCATCCACCATTATGGTATCATACAGAGTATTTTCACTGCCCTAAAAATCCTGCGCTCCACCTGTTCATCCCTCCCTCACTCTGCCCCAATCCTGGGCAATCACTGTTTTTTTTACTGTCTCCACAGTTTTGCTTTTTCTAGGATGTCATATAGTTGGAATCATTCAGTGTGTAGCCTTTTCAGATTGGCTTCTTTCACTTAGTAATATGCATTTAAGGTTCCTCCATGTATTCTCATGGCTTGATAGTTCATTTCTTTTTAGCACTGAACAATATTCCATTGTCCGGATATAACACAGTTTACTTAGCAATTCACCTAAAGAAAGACATCTTGGTTGCTTCCAAAGTCTGGCAATTATGAACAAAGCTGCTTTAAACATCGGTTGCAGTTTTTTGTGCAAGTTTGGTAAGTTTTCAACTCCTTTGGGTAAAGACTAAGGAGCCTGACTGCCAGGTTGTATGTACAGTGCATTTTTAATGAGGACCCCAGCAAAGGTTATGTATCTTTTTGTTGCTGGAGCATGCCAAAATTGTGGGCACAGATTACGCTATACAGACAAAGTATAATTGTCCATTTTTTTTTCTGCAATGGTGCCAACTTTTGTTAAGGTAACTCATTCATACTGACAGACTTCAAATAATGCCAAAGGGACTGCTCTAGGATCTCACGGTTGTGATGACCTAGACTGCTACTCAGTTACCTTGTTGGTCTCTCTGATACAAATTGTTAGAAAACAAAATCAAGTCAGAACTGAAGAGGGCATACACCTGATGGTACAGGCAGGGGTGAAGGTGGCTGCTGAGATGGGTCACATGATTTGGTTTAATTCGGTGAGAAAGAGTGATGTGGACAGCTGTCAAGAGAAGACTCTCCGATTTGGTCAGCATAGCACTGGACAAATGTTAAATCCTGAATTTAAGAGCTAAACTTTTATATGAGACTGAAAGCGTTAAGGGGCATCCTAGAACGATGTTGGAATGCAGCTTCAGGAGGGTGCTGGGAAGGTGGTAGCAGAAGCCATCTGAGAAAAGAGCTGTTGCTAAAGGGAGTAGAATAAAGTTGTAACACGTAATAGAGCAAAATGTATCACCTTGTCTCCAGGCTAGCACTCTGTTGGCATAGTTTTCTATTTATAGTAAAATAAACAGTTGGTGTCATCCAGAAGACCTACAAATAGGGGCAGAGGTCAGGGTTTATTTATTAGGGTGGTGGCAATATTAGATATTGGTTGCCTTAGGATGGCCTTGAAAATATCAACTTGCTTAGTTATCATAAATTCGTTATTGCCAAGTAGCTAGAGAGCTACTGTATATGGTACCTGGTTATACTTAAAAAGGTGTGCCTCAAAGAGAATTTGGGTCCTGGTAAATGCCTTTGACTTAATTTTGGTTAGCTGTTTCCTTGAAAGATGACACGTTCCAAATATTTTATCTTGGTCTGAAAGAGGCAAAAGGCTTTTCTATGGAGGTCTTAGGTCCTGTCTGCCAAGGTAGATTAGCAGTACTAAAAAGTTTATGGCAGATGCCTCTTGGATGTCAGAGCATGATGTACATAATCAATATAATAAACCAGAACTAAACTGTTCGAAAAGCACCTGCGTCTAGCTCTCTTACTGCTTCAAGACAACTGGAGGGCAAATCACAGGAGGCTTGAAGCAATCTGACTCATATATACAGCTGCCCTTAATAGGTGAATGTGAACAATTATCGACCCTCTTCTTCTCATAGTTAGAAGTTCCAATAAGGATGCTCACTTGTTTTTAATACTCCTCCTCCCCCCAAAGAAATCTCAAACCACTAGAACTTTATGCTGTATGTCACCTCTCTCCAGATATTTTACGGATATTTACCTCATACAGCTAAATAAAAACGATGCTAAACAAAACATGCTCCAAAATCTTGTTTGTCCTCTCTTTTCTTCACCTATGTCTCTGAAAGGTGCCTTAATGGGAAGTTGCAGGAGTTTGGGGGAATAAATTCAAATTTGAAGTTTTTGGTCTAAGTTTTGGAACTTTAATATAAACAGAGATATTCTCATCTAGAACTCCATGTAAATCAGAGCATACACATATAACATGGGCAAGAACACCAGTGTGATTCCATAAACCAGATGGGTTCTGCTGGGACACATCCCTCCTGGACCAAACTTCAGAGATCCATAAATCTGTGTCCTGATGCTAAAGATGTGTGCACTGCGGTTGACTGTTGGGATACATAACCACATTTCAGAGCAATAATGTTCCTTAGTCAGTTGTGCATCTAGCTTAGTCATCCTTTAGGAGAGAATTCCAATTAAGGTGACCAAATACTTCCAGTTGAAAGTTTCTTACATATCAAGGTGCATTAATATAGTCATGTGATATGGTTTCAGATTAGTGATTTTCCACCAATGAATCTTTTTATCTACTTGTTCCTAGAATAGTGTTTGTCATATGTAGGTACTCAATAAAGGTATCTGAAAGAATAAATGAGAGAATGAATGACACCTGTAGTAAACTGTTCAACGTACCTTCTATTTTTATCAGTCAACGAAAAATAAATTACCAAACTATATTTGGACAATTTGGTAATATGTAAGACAAAGGCAAGGAAAACATTCTTTAAAACAGGATCATCAAACATATCCTATTTCAAAAGAAACTGCTTATAATGGTAAGCAGTAGAAACAATGGTCCCATAAAAACATAAATGTAAACTATATTTAGATTTAGCTTATAAAGCTTAACACCTAAATCTACCTAAAAATAAGAAACTCACATAAAAAAACTAATATCTCATTTATATTACCATATGTATGGGTTATCATTTATTCTTTTAGATAAAAACAATTGGCTTTTAATCATTTCGTTCTTTTATATTTTTACTATTCCCCTTTCAATCCAATCTTCCTTGGGAGTTTGCAATAGGCTATGCTTCAGACTGTTGCATTCAAAAAGCATTCTTTAAGGGTTTACTCTCTTTCCTAAATCAGACGATTCACCTACAGTAACAGTAGAGGTAGTGTGTGACCTGGCAGATGTGGGGATGAAAGCATGGAGAAGTCCTTTTCTAATTGAAATAGGATGCAGCGTATCAGCGAAATGGGAGGGAGCAGTAGAAAATGTTGCAAGTTTGACAGAAGGTTTGCAATGGTTGTCTAGGAAAGTGGTATGATGACTGGACTGGGAAAATGTTTCAGGATTTTAAGCAAGTCTGCACAATTGTCTTAAGTGCTTAATGCAATGATCATTATCATTATGATCCTTGATAGGTGGTCTTTAATTCCCTGCCACTAATTCTTACTTCTTAGACATATATCCATGGTGCTATGAATATTATCTTGTAAAAATACAGCTCTGATCAATTTCCTTATAATTCAAAAACCTCTAATGGCTCTGAGCTAGTGTAATCTCCTCGGGATAATATCCTTTAAATCTAAGCCTCAATCTATCTTTCTAGGTTTCTCCTGCATCACATATCTCCATACAGTTCTACACATTAAGCTCTAAGACTGTGAGTTCTTGAAATATCTCATGCACTTTCACACTTCTGCTTTTGTTCTGACTAGTATTCCCTTTGCCTGGAATTCTCTTCTTGCCTCAAGTCGTTTGAAATCCTATTCGTTTTTTATGATTTAGCTCAAATGCTGCAGCATTTATCCATTCAACTAATATTTAAGTACTTAAAATGTGTTCGATGCTGGGAATTCAAAACAAGAAAACAGATAAATAGTGATATATTCATATAAAGGAATACCTCTGCAGCTGTTACAATGAATAAACTAGAGTTACATATCACTGACAAATCTTAAAAAGCATTAAGTAAAAGAAAGCTGCAAAAGGACTTATATGTCACTGAGTGTTAAAATTATGCAAGACAGCACTATATATGTAATTAAAAATTAAAACATAAAGGTGTTTGGGACAGTGGTTACCCTGGGCAAGAGGGAACAGAATGGGATAGGGTGATGCAGACAAAGGACTTCAATTACTTACATAATAATTTATGTCTCCAGTTGAGTGGGGAGTACACATGCATTTGTTATAGTTTTATTTCTACCTTTTGTCTGTCTACAATATTCAATTTTTCAAAAGGATGTATAACGCTTGATTCCTTCCTAATAGCACTGCCAATCTGTCTCATAACCAATAACTTAAAGTTACCTTCCATCTCTTGTACTCCCCTTTGTTTCCCGTTCTGTCGTTATGCACACATTAGTACACCAAGCCTTAAGAGTAGGAACTTCCAGACAGGAGCTTTAGGTAGATTAGAATGTAACTCTCTTCCCAGGAGATTCCTGAGTGTTCCCTCCAGTCCTCTCGGTACCCAACTAGGCCTTTTAAGAACTTCAGCCTGACCCTTTCAGCTGACCCCAGAATATCTCCCTTCAGATCCAGATTGCTGCCCCCTTCCCCCAAGAGACCTCAATGCGTCCCCTGAGCAAAACCACAATGTGCGTCCCCTGAACGAACCCCGGAATGTCTCCCTTTAGCGGACTCTGGTTCACTTTCATTAGAGATTGCCTGTTTTCCTTCTCACCTCCAGCCCAGCGCACGAGCCTCGCGTCTAGCCGGTCGAGCAGCGGTCCAGCTCGCACCACATTCCCTACCCAAACCACTTCCGGCCTAACCTCAGCACCCACGCAAATCCCACTTTTCACCGGAAAAGGGCTGGCTCGGCCCTCTGCGCATGCGCGAAACCGGCGCGGGTTCCACTTTGCTCCCAGACTCTCCCACGGCAGTCTCGCGGTGTTTCCTTCACCCGCGGGAGATTTTTGAACGCTGGGGCGGTAACCGCGCCCTGGGCGCCCAGCGGCCGGCTGATAGGAGGCTGAGGCGGTTCTGTGGAGACTCGGCCGGTGGTGGGTCCGGCTGCGGCGGCCGCACGCGGACGGGGCTCGTGCCCGCGGGGTCCCGGCGCCATGGGGGTGGAGAAGAGGCTGCTGCCGATTAAGGAGGCCTTTCAGCTGGCGCAGCAGCCGCACCAGAACCAGGCGAAGCTGGTGAGGGCGCTGAGCCGCACCCACGGCCCGGGTCCGGTCCACCCGCGGGCGCACCGGGTGGCAGCTGACAGTGTGTGTAAGAGAGTGAGAGCTTTGACCCTTGCTGTCATTTTACTTTGTTTACTTTTTTAGGGAAATAATTGTGTTTAATAACCATAGGAGTCGTGTGTCTCGGATAACAGTTCACTGATTTTCAACATAAATCTGCATCTGATTAAATAGGCTTAAGGTACATTAAATATCTATATTTATATTCCTGCCCTATCATGAGTTTCGCAAAACACTTAATTATTAACAAAATAAGTCAATGTAAGTAAGTGCCTCTCTGTTACAAACCAGCTGTTTAAGGCAGATATGTTTATTGCCTTTGATTCTATGATTTACGAAATAGACCGCAGTCAGGAGTACAAGTTTTCATTTCCGCTCTACGAGGTCCCGCCACTTCGCCAGCCTCGGGCCACTACTTTTTTTACTTGCAGGTTTACACAAAGGCAGGTTTTTGAAAACACTTTGCTTGGCCCCCTGACCCCCTTAAACTGTTTTTGGGTGAATAAATGTTTCTTTCGCGTGGCTCAGCCCAGCTCCATCAACAGCCGCGCGCTGGGAAGCCCGCTCCCGGGCCTGTGGGCGCCGGGCCTCCGGGTCGCCGCGGGACCTTATCCTTCCAGCCTTCTGCGCGCACACGGGCGAGGGCACCTCCTCTCGCGCGCGCTCCTCCTTCGGTACTCCCCGCATTGTCCTGCACTTGGCTTTTTTCACTTAACAATATATTCCAGATAGTCCTCCTTATCCCTATTTAATTAAACTTCCTCAGTCTTTATTTTTAAGCTGTCATATAGCCCATGTTGCAGATATATTCCAATTTATAGCCAGTACCATCTGGATGGACACGTGTTATGTCCAGTTCTGAGATATTAGGAGCAGTGCTTTAGTGAATACATGGCATTTCCTCCGTTGGCAAAGGCAACTGCCAGAGTCTCTGCAGAGAATTGCTGGATCAAAGAGGAAATGTATTTGCATATGTGATAAATATTGACAGTTGCCCTTCGTAGAGTGGTCCATTGTATGCTCCCATCAGCAGATGGGAGAGTATGAGAGAGATTGCTTCTTTTTGAGGGGGATTGGGAAGAACTAGAATATAATTTTGTTGTTGGTGTGATCCAGTGGATTCCGACTCCTAGTGACCCTGTGGACAGCAAAGCTGAACCCTGTCCCGTCTTTTTGAGCCATCCTCTCACCTTCTGGTGCTGTATCAGGCAATGCTCCCCTGCTATTCATAGCGTCTTCATGTCCAGTTTCCTTGGAAATGGGTGGCCAGGTCTTTCTTCCTAGTCTGTCTTAGTCTGGAAGCTCCACTGAAGCCTGTTCACCATGGGTGACCCTTCTGGTGTTTGAAATACTGGTGACATAGCTTTCAGCATCACAGCAACATGCAGCTGCCACAGTCTGACAACGGACAGATGGGTGGTGTGGTTCCCTGCCTGGGAAATGAACCCTGGCCAAAGCGGTGAGAGTGCTGAGTCTTAACCACTAGATCACCAGGGCTGGCTACAATATAATTGGGGGCATGTTTTTTGATAGACAAAATTTGTAAGTAAAATTTTGAACAATTAGGGAATATGACTTAGAATGATAACATACATATCAAAAAGAAATTGCATGTGATAGGGAAGCCTTATAAAAGGCAGTATTGAATTGAGACCAGTGGGGTTTTTTGTTTTTTTTCTTTTTATTGAACAGTACCTTTGATACATTTTTCTAAATAGATTCAAGGATTTGTAGAAGAGCAAAAGAATCTTTTGTGATCAAAATCTGTGTTGCCTTGCTCCATGGGTTTGCCTTGCTCCATGAGAGAAGTAACTCAAAAACAAGAGAGACGTAGGTAAATGATTACTCAAGTCTATTTTCCTCAATTATTTCTTCTTCTGAATGGACAATTAACAGTTATTAAAGAGTAAAGATTTTAGTTTGATGAGCAATTCATATTTTTGAGAGTCAGGTTAATGCTGGGGATAAAGACTTTTATCAATGTAGTTTGTGAAGGATTTGTTTTGTATTTCTGGCTGTCAAGAAAACATTTTTTCAGGAGGCATTTGTTCATGCTTTTAATATGCTAGGATGGTCTGTAAATATGAACCTGCAGCAAAGTGGGAAATAGAATTTGCAGCAGTTTGTTACTTCGTTTAGTCAAACGGAAGAAAGATGAAGACAATGACATTTCAAGTTATTTTAATTATTTTACTTTGTTCTTGAAAGTACTTTGGAAGTTTTGCCAATTTTTGTTAGCATTCATAGTGAGTGTGTGTATCATTGAAAATTACTGGATTGAAGCATTAAGGACTTGTGTAATTTAGAGAAAAAACAGCTAGGGGTCTAGATATATATGTGATATAAATAAATAAATTTATAATATATATATATACACACACACATATTTATGTCCTATCAAAGTGACCTTATAAATATTATCTTTTTATATAGGATAAAATACGATTACGACTAGAAGCTGATTTCTTAGATAATGCTGGCTTCAATTAAAAAAATTTAAGAAACAGTTTCAGGTAAATATATTTAAATGAGTGCTGAAGACCATTTTTTTGCTCCAAAAATTATTGCATTCTTGTTATTTGGCAAATGTTTCAGATAAGGATTATTTTGAGACTATATTAAATGTATATTTAGTATACCTCTGTATGAAATTATCATCATAACTTCTCTCTTTTTTGCATGCATTGTTTCTTCCTTATGCGTTATTAAAGTCTTGAATTCTGAATGTGGGGAAATCAAGTGGTTGTCATTATAATGCCACCTGGGAATAAGTTTGATCTTTTTTTTTTTCAGGACTGAGGCAAATAACAATGAAATTCGATTTTTATTATGCCAGATTCTAAATAAGTTCTTGGGAAATATGCTGGAAAATGCCCAGACTGATAATATTTTGTATATAAAATTAATGAAGCCCTCCTTTTTATACTGAAAGATAAAATTCCAAATATGAGAATATAGGCAATCCTGGCTCTTTCGAGACTTAAGACCTCTAGGTATGACTGCCGCATGGTTAAAGGTATGTGCAACTTCATAGTTTTTGTTTCTTTGATTTTAAATGCATAGTAGTTGAATTTTCCCTTATTGAATATATAATATATAGTGAGAGAAGAGATATGGTACACAAACACACACCCAATTTAAAGATATGTAGTTCCAACAGCAGTTCTCTGACACCAACTGGGTGTCCTATAATTCAACTACCCAGAGTTAGAGCAGACCCATAGGTCAAGGAGGGCTCAGTCCCACAAGACTGCCCCCCTCTTCAGAGGTTTTGGGCATCCCTAAGCTACCTGTACTTCTACCCAGACTGGAAATTCCAGGATTCCCCTCTGGTGTGATAATTCTCTAGACTGACTGATACAACTCAGGGAAGTGCTATACTTACTGTTAAAGTTTTATTATAAAGGATGCAACTGAGGAACATCGAAGAGGAAGAGATAGATATGGCAAAATATGAGGAGCAGGGAGTGCGGAGCATCCATGGCCTGTCTGGATATGTTATCCAGTACATTGATGTCTTCATCAACCTGAAACCTTCCTGAGCCTGTTTGTTTCAGGGTTTTTTATGGGATTTCACTGAGTAGGCATGATTGGTTAAATCATTGGCTATTTGATTGAACTCAATCTCTAGTCCTTCTCCCCTCCCTGGAATTCAGGGGATGAGCCTGAAAGTTTCAGCCCTATAGTCACCTGCCTAGTTTTTATGGTGACCAGCTTCCATCCTGAAGCTATCTAGGGCTCCCAACCCAGCAGGAGTCACTTAATTAGCATAAACTCGGGTATGGTTGAAAGGGACTCTTGAATAACAAAAGACACTCCTATCACTCAGGAAATTCCAAGGGTTAAGGAGCTCTGTACCAGGAATCAGGGACAAAGATCAAATATGTTTTTTATTATACCACAAAAGAATAATAAAATGAACACATGTAGCCTACATCTAATTAAGAAATAGAATGTTTAAGATAGCTATTTAAGTCTCCCTTGTCACTTTCTGAATGTATTCCCCCTCCTTCCTTCCTACAGGAAACCACTATCCTGAATTTTGTTACTCATTGTTACTCATTACCTTGCTTTTCTTTAGAGTTTACTTTATTATAAGGCTACCTAGATATATCCCAAAAATATGCAATGTATCTTTGCCTTTTTTACCTTCATATAAATGGAGTTATATTGCATGTATACTTTTGTAACTAATTTTTTTCCATTTAACAGTTTCTAAGAGTAATCCAAATTTATGCATGTAGCCATAGTTCATTCTTTTTCACTAGTATATAGTATTTTGTTTTAGAAATACAGCACACTAGAGTTATCCATTATCTGTTTACTATTGTCAGCTCAACTGTTATCAGCATTTTCAGATGTGTGCAAAAGTTTCTCTGGCTAATATGCCTAGAGGTAGTGTTATGGACTGAATTGTGTTTCCTCAAAATTCATATGTTGAGTCCATAACTCACAATACCTCAGAATGTGACTGCGTTTGGAGATAGGGCCTTTAAAGAAGTAATTAAGTTAAAATGAGGCCTATAGGGGAAGCAGTAATCCAATCTGACTGGTATCTTTATAAGAAGAGGAAATTAGGATATACAGAGACACACTGCACGTGTACATGCAAAGAGGGAAGGCTGTGTGAGGATGTCTGCAAGAGGACATCTGTAAGCCAAGTGGAGGGGCCTCAGAAGAAACCAAGCCTGCCCACACCTTGCTCCTGGACTTCTGGCCTCCAAAACAGAAAATAAATTTCTGTTGTTTAAGTGACCAAGTCTACAGTATTTTTGTTATGGCAGCCCTATCAAACTAATAACAGTTAGAATTGCTAGATGGTAGAATTATGCACATGTTCAACTTAATTAGTATTGCTGATATTTTTCTAAAGTGGTTGGGTCAATTTACAATCCTACTGGCAGTGTATGAGAAATCTTGTTCTACATCCTTGCGCAAACCTGATACTGTAAGACTTGACTTTTTCCAGTCTGGTTGGAGAGGAGTGGAATCTGGTCGTTTTAGTTGCATTTTCCTGATAACTGAGAGTTAAATAACTATATGTTTCTTGTTTCTATATCAATAAAATGACTATTATATCTTTGTCTGCTTTTCAGTTGTGCTATTTGTTTTTTTCTTACTGATGGGTAGGAGTTAACTTTAATGAAAGTAAGATTTATCCTTTAATGGCCTGTCCTCTTTTATGTCTATTTAAGCAGTTCTTCCAAGCCGCTATAGTGAAAGAAGGTAGACTCATATTTTTTTCTGAATGTTTTACATTTAAATCCTTAATCTACCTGGAGTTGATTTTTTTTAATGTTTGGTTTGAGGTAGATGAATAATTTCATTTTCCCATATTAATAACAGTTGTCCCAGCCTATTTTTTGAATACTCTTTTTTTTCCCCAGCTGATCAACAATGGCAGCTCTGTCATCCATCAAGTCTGCATACCATGAGGTTTTCTTTCTGGGCTCTATTCTGTTGTAACTATGGATTTTTGTCTACCTCTAGACAAACATCACATTGTCTTAATTATTATGGTTTTATAATAAATCTTGATATCTGATAATAATTGAAAATTTTTTGTTTTAAATGATACGTATAATTATTTTTCAGTCATTACGTGCATGATTTTGAACCTGTCAAATGTGGGGAGTAGAGCTGACTAAGTGTATTTAAGCATAGGAAATGATTGTTGCTCCAGAGACTCAAACAAAATTCCTTTCAAGGCAACTCAATAAAAATCAAAGTCTCAAGGCTCATTAGAGCCTTTTTAAAAAGCCATTTCTAATATAGGACCAGGGCTTTTGGGGTATCTTGGATGGGGTTTTAGATGAAAAAAGATGGGCCATGAACTGATAATTGTTGAAGCTGATTGAGGGTATTAATTTTAAAGTTTCAGTGGTTTATTTTCTTAATAGGTAAAGAATGCATCACTTGTTAGATAATTGTGCCTTTAATGACTATATTTTTTGTCCTTTTGTACTTGCTCAGAGAATTCCGTTTCTTCAACAAGGACTAGTGATATGTCAGGTAACATGTACATAAGTTAATAGATTTGAAAGTCATACTTTTCTTACTATTATGAAAATTTCAAAGTTGAGGATAGTAAAATGAACCCAACAACCCAACTCCTAGTTTCAACCATTATCAATATTTGGCCAATTTTGTTTCTATTGCTTTCACCCCCCAACTCCCGCCCCCTTGCCCCCACCACATAAACATACTTCATCACTCCACCCCACTCTCAGCGAGAATTATTTTAAAGCAAATCTTGGCTATCGTAGTATTTCATCTAATATCCAGTGTTCGAATTTTTCTAATTTTCTCAAAAAGATGATTTTTCACACTTGTTTCTTTGAATTAGAGTCTAAACTATGTCCATACATTTCATTTGATTGATATTTCTTATGTCTCTTTATTTAATATATAATAGGCTCTCCTCTCCTTTTTTTCTTTGGCATTTATTTGTTGTAAAGATTGGATCATCTGTGCAGTTGAAATTCCCATATTCTGGATTTGGCTGATTTCATCCTCATACTGTCACTCAACCTATTCTATCATGTGTATTTCCTGTAAGTGATAGTTAAGTGTAGATGATTAACTAGATTAAAGTTTGACTTTTTTTCAGGGAGGGAGGCAGAAATATTTATGTGGTGGTTTATATTCTATTGCATTCATATCAGGAAGTGAAAGGCTTCAATAATATTTTTGAAAGTGCCCTCATATATATGAACTAAAAATTATAAAGCAATGATATAATTTCCATAAGCTCTGTTCCTCTGTTGGCTTATGACCTCTAACCTCCCTGTTTTTGCAGATGGGGAAACTAAGGCCCAGAGAGTTAAATATTTGCCAAAGGCCAAACAGCTAATTTAATAGAAGTAGGGCTCTTTTCTACCTTCCACTACTTTTAAAATTTTGCCTCAGTTGTATTTACCTTTAGCTGAAGGTATTTGTGCATCAGAAAAAAGTCTGTTAGAGGAGGTCAGCATAGCGTTTCTGCCTGTCCAACTAGAGGTTTTGTGACTGAGAGGGTAAGACATAGTACATGGTAAACTTTCAACTCCCTTGAGTTGTTCTGTTCTTTGCACTGCCAGTGTAATAGCTAAGAAATAGTCAGAGAGGGGCTTAGATGGGACCTAAGCCTGAAGCCTGGTAAATCCCAGATAGGAAGAATGCAAGCAAATCTTTATTGGCTACAATAGCAGTTGGTTATTTGGCCCTAAATAAGTTTTATTTGTGGTATTTGTTTACCTCGTTTTGTTTTATTCTGGTATGCTTAGTTTCTCATTTTAGTTTCTACTTATAAACTTAAATTAATATTAATTTGAAGAAAATTATGTAACAAAATATAGGAAGTGAAAACTTGAGGAAGTTACATTCCTCTTCAGCTTACATAACTGAACAGATGCTGTGAAATCAGTGATGCGAAAAAATCTTTTACAAGCATGGTTCCACTTCACTGGGCTGGGAAGTATCTTAGAGTTGCTTCATCTGTTTATTGTGTAAAAGTAGTCTGTAGTGGCAGGTTCACTGCTTTCTTTTTCAGTGACTTCCAGTGAACTGACGGGAATTTGCAAAAACGATGATTGTAGGTAAGTGACAAATTAATTTATCATTAAAAGCCATTACCTTGATCATTTTCTAACATAGGAGAAATGAATTAGCTTCTAGGGAGAAAGGAAGGTTTTATGACTGAAATAAAAGTTTTATGAAATGATACCTTTACTTTGTAAGAAAAACAAAGTTATGATCACATAAATTTCCCTAATATTTAAATACAACATAGAGAAATAATCCCAAAACATAACACAAATAAAAATTTGGGAACGTTTTGTGGCTGGCCTGGTGGCCTAGTGACTAAGTTTGCGTGCTCTGGTTTCATCGGCCCAGGGTTCACAGGTTCCGATCCCGGGCCCAGATCTAGCACGGCTCATCAAGCCATGCTGTGGTGGCATCCCACATAAAGTAGAAGAAGACTGGTGCAGATGTTAGCTAGCAACAATCTTCCTCAAGCAAAAGCATTGGCAACAGATGTTAGCTCAGGGCCAATCTTCCTCACACACACATAAAAACACTTGGGAACATTTTACTTAATGTGATTAGTGTGCTGTCTATTTATAAGTTCATTCCATTCTGGGATACACAAGGGCGATTCTCACAGATCTAATACTCTATTAACCCTGTTTTTTTCCCTTTTTTAAAAAGATTTTATTTTTCCTTTTTCTCCCCAAAGCCCTCCGGTACATAGTTGTACATTTTTAGTTGTGGGTCCTTCTAGTTGTGGCATGTGGGATGCCGCCTCAGCATAGCTTGATCAACTGTGCCATGTCCGCACCCAGGATCCAAACCAGCAAAACCCTGGGCTGCCAAAGCGGAGCGTGTGACCTTAACCACTCGGCCACAGGGCTGGCCCCAATTCCTTTGTTTGTAATTGGATTAAGTATTAAAAATACTAATAAGTAGGGGCCGGCCCAGTGGCGCAGTGATTAAGTTCGCACTTTCTGCTTCTGCTGCCCAGGGTTTGCTGGTTCAGATCCTGGGTGCAGACCTATGCACCGTTTGTCAAGCCATGCTGTGGCAGGCATCCCCCATATGAAGTAGAGGAAGATGGGCACAGATGTTAGCTCAGGGCCAGTCTTCCTCAGCAAAAAGAGGAGGATTGGCAGCAGATGTTAGCTCAGGTCTAATCTTCCTCAAAAAGAAAATACTAATAAGTAGTACTACATTAATTCTACTTTGCAATGAGCAGTGGTATTTGTAGGAGAGAAAGAGAATTCCTCTACTCTCTCTAGATACTTCTGGCTGGTCTAAAAATTAAATTGACATGAGACAGATTAACAGGAGAAAATCAAACATAACATGTACATGGGAGAAACCCAGGAAAGCCGAGTAACTCACCAAAATGGCCAAGGCTGACAGCTTAAATATCATCTTCAGCTAAAGACAAAGGAGGATGTTGAGGGTAGTAGTTTGGGCCTTCAAAGGGGAGAAAGGCAATTCACATGGAAATGGAAAAGCAAATGTTTGGTAGATAAGAATGGGCTTAGCCAGGACCCTCACAGTCTATGATACCCAGAGTTATCTATGGTAATGGCCTGTCCTGGGGAGAGGCCTTTTATCTTAAATTCTTTTAGGCAGTTAAGGGGAAGGTCAAAGTTTCTTTTAGAGTCTTTTGTTCTTAAAATAATCAAGCGATCTTAAAAATAATCAGGCCAAAGAGACACATTTTGAGGTGGCCAATTCTGGTCCCCCACATATTTCATCCAAAAGAATGATAAATGTATGTCTCATAATCATTCTTTAGTGTTTATGAAAAGTAAGCTTTAATATTTCGTATTCTTTAGTTACCAAGTATAACTCAATTTTTGATTCAGAGTTTTGGAAAGCAAATGAATCTGTCCAGATAGTTTTCTTGAATGTATCAAATGTTTTATTCCTGGGATGTAATGGTTAAAAGTTTGAGACAGGACAGATAGTGAAAAATAGACAAAATATAGGAAACAATGTTTTTAAAGATAATGGACATCAGGCAACAAAGAAGAGGCAATAAAGGGCGTGAACCCTGAGCAAGAGGAAACAAACAAAGTGAGTTCTATGATTGCTCCAGCTAACTACCTTGAGACAGTTTCCAGTCACAGCACAGGGAGGGGAGAACACAGGGAGAACCTGGTGGGATCCCTGATTTGATGAGGCGGGGCTGAGAGTCTGATGAAACCAAGGCAGCTACCCTTTCCAGCACAGAGTGCTAGTGAAGAGATTGCTGCACTAAAGAGAACTCTAGAATAATTGGTGAAGAATCTCCTTTCAGTTTTCAGGTGAGTACTGATCAGTGCATGCAGGTGAAGAAATTACCTGAGGCCAAGAAAAGGACCACCCAAAAGTATATAGGTAATAGAGTCCAGCTCAGAGTGGGCTAAGAATAATGGCTGTTCCCACAGGACAGATTGGAAAAACGTCACTCACAGAGCATTGGGTAGAGTACATAGAAGGGTCTTGCCTCACTTGTGGGGAATAATTAGCCCGATGCCGAGCACTGTTCTGTCTTGCCTTGTATTTAAAGCAACACCTGAAAGCGTCAAATTGTTTCCAAGTAACTCC